CTCACTACACATCTTTCATGGAGGTTGTTTGACATTGCTTGAACAAGCTCGTCAGTACAGATAGGTGATTCAGAGTAAATTCGCTCCCTACCGACCCTGAATTTTGAGACGACTTCAGCTGACTCCCATTCATACTCTTTGGTTCTATTCTAGTTTACGTGACTTTACCGAATAGAACCAAAGAGTATGGATCCTTGCAGTCACGAAAGCTTTAAATCTAGACTCCCATTCAATTTGTGGGACGCAGACCAAGCCCTCCCTGCACGTGCACAGTGTTGACAAACACTGCCATTAAGTGTCTCCCCCCCCCATCGTCCCTGTTCTCAGCCTCCCGCAAGCATGTCCAATGCGCCCGGATGCAGCCACCCAGATGTGCGGATGAGTCACATGGGCACGCATTCCTTGTCCGTTTCGCACACAGGATGTGCGACGAAGGGGCCTGTCACCGCAGCGCCTTACGACACGCTCCACAAGGGAGAAGTGATACGACGCTTATTGCACTACCCGTCCTACTGCAAACGTTGTGAAGAAGAGCCAGCATCCAAAATGTTAGCGTGATAAATGTATGCGCAGTAATTATGAAAAATAAGAATTAGTTTTACCCTTCCTGGCAACAAGACAGGTGCTAAGATGTTCAAACAGCAGATAGATACCCTTTTCAAGGGATCATCTACATTAACCACACTTACTTGTGGCAAAACATGAACACATATATGCTCTGATAATACGTGCATTGTCTTTTAGACTGCCACGTGTACTGTGCGTGTATGCACGCACAGTACACGTGGCAGTCTTCGTCAAAAAATGTCTATGCACAGCCCTTATTATTTTACTATGCTTGTTTTTTTCCCCCAAGAAAGCCTCATCAAGTCTGATGACTCTTGTTCAGGAGGGTCCTGTCAAGTTTTCACAGGAGGGGGTGATTATTGCTACGTATAATCCCAATTCAGTAATTTTCACGGTAAAAAATGTGCCAAATATAGACTATGACGCCAGCGCACAATGGCCTAGTCTTGCGAATGACATCACGAAATCTTTAACGTCTGGTATGTATTATTTTATGGTTAATACACCCGCAGTATTAATCAGGGTGGCTTCTGGATGCTACCTCTGGAACGAGTGGCGAATACGCCATCACTAGGCCATGTCACCACACCATGCCCTGCTTAGCTTCAGTGCTTCATTTCAGCCGGAACAGTCAGGAACGCTTGTTCCGAAATATATTTTGCCAAACCACATCCATCCTTGCCTTATTTAGTCCTCAACCTCTCATATGATTTTTTTAAAATATAGGGTGCAGTGATACAGGATTATCTTGGATGAATGTACATTGAACGCGAGTGGTAGTGCCTTACGCCAATAATCCCTATTATAAGCCAGCTTAACAACGTTCAGGAAAATAGAGTGAGAAATTAAACTCCAGCTTAGCTTGCAGCTTTCAAAGCCATTTGCTCTCTTGAAACATATCTAATTAACTGTGTGTGTTCATAATGCGTGTACATCAATGTATTCAACAATTTACCAGCCTGTGTTATGTACTTAATGCCAGAGTGCATGCACCACAGAGATGGAGCGATGAAATCAGGTCGCGTACAGGAGCTAGAAGGATTGTTGCATCACCAGAGCAGGACAGATGGCGACAACTTGGAGAGGCCTTCAACAGGCAGTCAATGGATCTTGGCAGATGATGATGATACTCTTTGTAAACATAATACGATACATGACGATACAATGATCAGAACCACATTGTATGTAATTCCTCGTCACATTATTTTATACCGATATGTGTGTATATATTGAATCTGTGCGATGCTTAATTCCTGAATCTGGACTATAATTACACTCATGAATGATTTGTGGGGTGAAATGGCCTGTTTCGTTTTGGAGCTTTTAATACATACAATTTCTTGGTGGAGATTTTAACCAGGAACAAAATAATTTGCCGAAAGAAAACTTAATTTTCTACGAAAATATATTACCTGGATAATCCCTTGAGATCTTAAATCCCCATTGCAAGGGTGTCAAGTGACAAGACAGCAAACGCATAATGACGCGTATACAAACATTTACAAATCTACAACTTATACCATCGACATGTATTCAATGTCAGATACATTCAACAGCATCGAGAACAGGTACACGAAAGCCAAGGCAGCATGCATTAAGATTACACCACATTGGCAAACGCTTTTATAAGAAAAGGCACCAACATTTTCACACCAGGTATTGGTTCAGTTTGGGAAACCTGGTCACCCCTCCCCTTCAAAGGGTTGCATTTGAAGTAGGGAAAACCCCAATCATTATATATTTGGTTAGATTGTAAACCGTAGACCTGGTACAATAAAACAATCAACATCTTGATAGGACACATGCTTTCCTGTTGGGTTTTTGTGATTTTTCCCTTTGCACATTTTCACCACTAGAGCAAGGCCGTAGCCATGGAGTCAACATTGGGGGGGACCAAATCTTCCAGGGGGGACCAAACCTTCCAGGGGGTCTGGGGGTCCCCCCCCCCCCCCGAAAAAAATCTGCCACCCTTCCTCTTGCTCATGATGACACTCACTGTGAATGAAAGCTGACTGTAATAAAACTGCTTGCACTTTAATCAAAGAAACACTAATAATGCTATTTACCATAAGTACAGCTTTACGCTATACTATACGAATATGCAATAAATGAAATCTACTACTGTCTACAAATATGACAAATGCAGCTGCAACATAAATGATTGACACTTTACTCAGACTTCACGTGGGCTTTCTGACAAATATAACATAATAAAGACATTTACGTTAGTTGAATACGCCCGTGAGCGCCACTGTTGGTCGCTGGGTGAATGTGTGGCTAATTAACTTCCCAAGTAACTTTCCAAATGGTTTGTTGATTAGCAATCGCAAATCGGCCCATTTTCACCAAAAATGTTTGTTCCCACTCGACAGTGAGACAGCCTACGTAACACTCATAATTACATTCTAGTTTTCCACTTTTTAATACATTTGAAAATAATGAAATGGAGAGACAGGACAGTGTTTGATATTGATTGTACCTACCCACAGCAGTCGAGTAACGGCTTCTGCTGGGGTACGGCAACAATACTTGGACAAACCACACGCAGAACTGCAGTACACCGTAATACTAGAACCATTAGTAGTAATAATGGCAATTTGTTATAGTCATGATTATGATTACATTTGCTAATGATAATTTCGGACGGCTGTGCGTGGTTGCCTGTCGTAGCATAGAAATTATTATTTTGAAAATATTTTTTTATATCAATATATTGGGGGGGACATTTTAAGCATATTTAAATCTTGTGGGGATATGTCTAGAGTACCGGAAAACGTGTTCTTAAGGCATTTCTCATCCACAGCCAAAATGGATGCACACATCACTCAGTAAATAAGTGGAGTTGACTAGGGCTGCTGGGATCTCAACGCAGATGGCACTGATCCTGGGACTGAGTCACAGTGGCCAGGCTCAAGACTTAGCAGTGACAGGGATGACACTCCAGCCCCGATCATAATCATGATCGGGAGCGTTTAAAATCTAACACCATTCATGACAAATGTATGCCACAACGCTGCATATTCTGCAACACGAGGAAGTGCATATGTACTTTAAGATGCTTTCATACAATTAATGATAATTTGTACATTCTTGCTGGAGGTTCAACACTCGTGGTGGAATTTTACATTGTAATAGCATGATCTGTGCCATCCTCAAGGCAACCACTGCTATTATTACATTTAAAAAAATTATGACCCTTTTTCAAACCATGCCGCATACAAATAAAACAAATCACACACATTGTGAACTCAAAACTTGTTATTAATTATAGAAGCAAAGATTTACATTTATTTGTACGAACAAAATAATTTGAAATAATGTAGTTATCTCAACAGTGAGTTAGTTCCATATAATTCGACCACTTCTCATCAACGATATAGTGTGCTGCGAAAGTCTATAGTTGTGGCTGTCACAACAATTCCCTATTTTATATTCTTGTCACCAGCTGTGGTCCTAGTCGTGGGAAGTGGTCTCACTGTGGTTAACACACGCTTTTCTGAACCTGGAGACCTGAGTTTTTATTTCTGGCCATGGCTAATATCGAGATATCCAAACCGATCCTGCCCTCTCCCCTCCTTTCACCAACCTGCATGGACCAGCGTGATAACGTAAACTCAATAAATCCTCACGACCACCATAGCTTTGGGAGGACCTCATCCAGCAGTGGATGGGGGGGGGGGTATAACTCATGCGTGGGCCACCATAACAGTAACATATCGCGACGAAGAGGGAACTTGGGTGGGCTAGAGGGACATTTGGTGACGCAGGGCCCACCCCAGCTGGCCCAGAATTAAAATGACAAACACGAATGACACTTATGGTGACTTTTCATAAAAAAAAGGTTTTTGGGTTAGATCGCGTTTTTTATAAATGTGTCGCAACCCTCCAACACCCGACACGGCCAATCAGTAAAAAAAGTGTCACGTTGACAAAAGACAAATAGTTCACTACTTCAGCCCACCGGTGTGTTGAAGAGTGGATCCACAACATTTGCAATTTGAGTACGACGTTTCGCTGGAAATTACATCCAGCATCTTCGGGCGATTTGTCTTTTGTCAACGTGACACATTTTTTACTGATTGGCCGTGTCGGGTGGTGGAGGGTTGCGACACATTTATAAATAACGCCATCTAACCCAAAAACCTTTCTTATGAATAATACTGGTCACGAAAGCCCACCTGTTAAACTGACTTATGGTGACATCTACACATAATAAACACAATTGTCCATGCAATTATAGCCATGCAAATATATATGAACAGCCAGCTGCGATTTGAAAATACCAGCAAGAAGAGATGCTTGTGGAAAAAAACATTATTGACGAGCTCAGACAAAAGGCGAGGTCTTCGTTGAAACAGAAAGAGAGCAAAAATGGTGGAAGACCACTGTGCAGAACAAGTTAACAGAGAACAATTATGAAAGTACGAACTCACCATTGCAGCTGTATCTCATAATCCGCAGCTCAGCCTCTCAACTCTGATCCACCCCCCCTCCTCCACGGTCAAACAATCTCAAGTCGGTGTCCGAAACACGCGGCGTTGGCGTTAAGGGCTTTTAGCAGAACCTTGACGAGAGGCTAGCGGTGCTACTCAACTGTAATGGTATTGACAACCGAACCTTAGCCTTGACAAGGAACTAGTGGCAGGTACTGTACTCTTCCTCTGTAAATAAGGAACCCTGCAGGGAAGTCACGCCATTGGCTCTCGACTGCTGGACCACTGTGCACCCACGCATTGCGGTATTGCCCCTGCTCAATTCATTAATTACAGGGCACGCTCGTTCTGGTCCACCGACTACGCTTTGCAGTGCTCGCTAACAACGGTTGGAAACGTACGGTGCGAAAGAAGTTCAAAACACGTGAAACAATGACTCTGCATTAAGCTGTTCTAATGCACTGGCAGGTGTTTTGACGGCGAGGCAAGCCCACTGCTGGCATCGACACTGATATTAGTCCATGTCCTCAGATAAGATATTTCACCTGTTGATAACACCCGTAGTGATGGACAGCAGTTATTTTGTTAAAACATTGCAGCGCAGTACCGATAACGCAAGTGTTTAAAAGGACGGTCACAATTCAATGTAGTTAGCCACGACGTTCCACATTTACTTTGTTGAACCAGCTGAGAGCACAAGAGACCAGGGTGAGTCTCATTTGCAATCGTCACCTGTGTCATCAAAATGTTCAAAATCAAAACCAAGCACACAAACTGTACATCTTGGGTATTAATAGCCTCTGCTTTGGACAATCGTATTTTGTGACCTCTGATGTGAATGTAATCACAGGGGAACGCCTAAGATGCCTTTAATTGACCTCTGTTTCACACACTCTGGCACTGAGAGTTATGCTCGTTGTATGATAAACTGATACAGTATTTTTTCATTTCTCTAAGTGCACAACCAACATTTTTGTTTGTGCAGTCATTGGTGATCTGGCTGAGACCCAACAACTCACAAAGTACTTGAGAACCTGCTTTAATTACAGTCATTGGTGACCTGGCTGAGACCCAACAGCTCACAAAGTACTTGAGAACCTGCTTTAATTACAGTCATTGGTGAACTGGCTGAGACCCAATAACTCACAAAGTACTTGAGAACCTGCTTTAATTACAGTCATTGGTGACCTGGCTGAGACCCAACAGCTCACAAAGTACTTGAGAACCTGCTTTAATTACAGTCATTGGTGACCTGGTTGCGACCCAACAATTCACAAAGCACTTGAGAACCTGCTTTAATTACAGTCATTGGTGACCTGGTTGAGACCCAACAATTCACAAAGCACTTGAGAACCTGCTTTAATTACAGTCATTGGTGACCTTGCTGAGACCCAACAACTCACAACGTACTTGAGAACCTGCTTTAATTACAGTCATTGGTGACCTGGCTGAGACCCAACAGCTCACAAAGTACTTGAGAACCTGCTTTAATTACAGTCATTGGTGACCTGGCTGAGACCCAACAACTCACAAAGTACTTGAGAACCTGCTTTAATTACAGTCATTGGTGACCTGGCTGAGACCCAACAATTCACAAAGCACTTGAGAACCTGCTTTAATTACAGTCATTGGTGACCTGGTTGAGACCCAACAATTCACAAAGCACTTGAGAACCTGCTTTAATTACAGTCATTGGTGACCTGGCTGAGACCCAACAACTCACAACGTACTTGAGAACCTGCTTTAATTACAATCATTGGTGCCCTGGCTGAGACCCAACAACTCACAAAGTACTTGAGAACCTGCTTTAATTACAGTCATTGGTGACCTGGCTGAGACCCAACAGCTCACAAAGTACTTGAGAACCTGCTTTAATTACAGTCATTGGTGACCTGGTTGCGACCCAACAATTCACAAAGCACTTGAGAACCTGCTTTAATTACAGTCATTGGTGACCTGGTTGAGACCCAACAATTCACAAAGCACTTGAGAACCTGCTTTAATTACAGTCATTGGTGACCTTGCTGAGACCCAACAACTCACAACGTACTTGAGAACCTGCTTTAATTACAGTCATTGGTGACCTGGCTGAGACCCAACAGCTCACAAAGTACTTGAGAACCTGCTTTAATTACAGTCATTGGTGACCTGGCTGAGACCCAACAACTCACAAAGTACTTGAGAACCTGCTTTAATTACAGTCATTGGTGACCTGGCTGAGACCCAACAATTCACAAAGCACTTGAGAACCTGCTTTAATTACAGTCATTGGTGACCTGGTTGAGACCCAACAATTCACAAAGCACTTGAGAACCTGCTTTAATTACAGTCATTGGTGACCTGGCTGAGACCCAACAACTCACAACGTACTTGAGAACCTGCTTTAATTACAGTCATTGGTGCCCTGGCTGAGACCCAACAACTCACAAAGTACTTGAGAACCTGCTTTAATAACAGTCATTGGTGACCTGACTGAGACCCAACAACTCACAAAGTACTTGAGAACCTGCTGTAATTACAGTCATTGGTGACCTGGCTGAGACCCAACAACTCACAAAGTACTTGAGAACCTGCTTTAATTACAGTCATTGGTGACCTGGCTGAGACCCAACAACTCACAAAGTACTTGAGAACCTGCTTTAATTACAGTCATTGGTGACCTGGCTGAGACCCAACAACTCACAAAGCACTTGAGAACCTGCTTTAATTACAGTCATTGATGACCTGGCTGAGACCCAACAACTCACAAAGTACTTGAGAACCTGCTTTAATTACAGTCATTGATGACCTGGCTGAGACCCAACAACTCACAAAGTACTTGAGAACCTGCTGTAATTACAGTCATTGGTGACCTGGCTGGTACCCAACAACTCACAAAGTACTTGAGAACCTGCTTTAATTACAGTCATTGGTGACCTGGGTGAGACCCAACAACTCACAAAGTACTTGAGAACCTGCTTTAATTACAGTCATTGGTGACCTGGCTGAGACCCAACAACTCACAAAGCACTTGAGAACCTGCTTTAATTACAGTCACTGGTGACCTGGCTGAGACCCAACAACTCACAAAGTACTTGAGAACCTGCTTTAATTACAGTCACTGGTGACCTGGCTGAGACCCAACAACTCACAAAGCACTTGAGAACCTGCTGTAATTACAGTCATTGATGACCTGGCTGAGACCCAACAACTCACAAAGTACTTGAGAACCTGCTGTAATTACAGTCATTGGTGACCTGGCAGAGACCCAACAACTCACAAAGTACTTGAGAACCTGCTGTAATTACAGTCATTGGTGACCTAGCTGAGACCCAACAACCCACAAAGCACTTGAGAACCTGCTTTAATTACAGTCATTGGTGACCTGGCTGAGACCCAACAACTCACAAAGCACTTGAGAACCTGCTTTAATTACAGTCATTGGTGACCTGGCTGAGACCCAACAACTCACAAAGTACTTGAGAACCTGCTTTAATTACAGTCATTGGTGACCTGGCTGAGACCCAACAACTCACAAAGTACTTGAGAACCTGCTGTAATTACAGTCATTGGTGACCTAGCTGAGACCCAACAACTCACAAAGCACTTGAGAACCTGCTTTAATTACAGTCATTGGTGACCTGGCTGAGACCCAACAACTCACAAAGTACTTGAGAACCTGCTTTAATTACAGTCATTGGTGACCTGGCTGAGACCCAACAACTCACAAAGTACTTGAGAACCTGCTTTAATTACAGTCATTGGTGACCTGGCTGAGACCCAACAACTCACAAAGTACTTGAGAACCTGCTGTAATTACAGTCATTGGTGACCTGGCTGACACACAACAACTCACAAAGTACTTGAGAACCTGCTGTAATTACAGTCATTGGTGATCTGGCTGAGACCCAACAACTCACAAAGTACTTGAGAACCTGCTGTAATTACAGTCATTGGTGACCTGGCTGACACCCAACAACTCACAAAGTACTTGAGAACCTGCTGTAATTACAGTCATTGGTGACCTGGCTGGTACCCAACAACTCACAAAGTACTTGAGAACCTGCTGTAATTACAGTCATTGGTGACCTGGCTGAGACCCAACAACTCACAAAGTACTTGAGAACCTGCTGTAATTACAGTCATTGGTGACCTGGCTGAGACCCAACAACTCACAAAGTACTTGAGAACCTGCTTTAATTACAGTCATTGGTGACCTGGTTGAGACCCAACAATTCACAAAGCACTTGAGAACCTGCTTTAATTACAGTCATTGGTGACCTGGTTGAGACCCAACAATTCACAAAGCACTTGAGAACCTGCTTTAATTACAGTCATTGGTGACCTGGCTGGTACCCAACAACTCACAAAGTACTTGAGAACCTGCTTTAATTACAGTCATTGGTGACCTGGCTGAGACCCAACAACTCACAACGTACTTGAGAACCTGCTTTAATTACAGTGATTGGTGACCTGGCTGAGACCCAACAACTCACAAAGTACTTGAGAACCTGCTGTAATTACAGTCATTGGTGACCTGGCTGAGACCCAACAACTCACAAAGTACTTGAGAACCTGCTTTAATTACAGTCATTGGTGACGTGACTGAGACCCAACAACTCACAAAGTACTTGAGAACTTGCTTTAATTACAGTCATTGGTGACCTGGCTGAGACCCAACAACTCACAAAGTACTTGAGAACCTGCTGTAATTACAGTCATTGGTGACCTGGCTGACACCCAACAACTCACAAAGTACTTGAGAACCTGCTGTAATTACAGTCATTGGTGACCTGGCTGGTACCCAACAACTCACAAAGTACTTGAGAACCTGCTGTAATTACAGTCATTGGTGACCTAGCTGAGACCCAACAACTCACAAAGCACTTGAGAATTGGCTTTAATTACAGGCGGCCATCTGGATTTTAACCCAAGAATCTTCAAGGTGGCAAGCTCAGTGCCTCTGATCTTTGACCTCTAAAGTCAGCCGCGTCCACCTCATGAACCTAGGGGCCGTCCATAAATGACGTCACGCGATTTTGGACGATTTTTTACAAAAAGTCAGACCCCCCCTCAAATATGACGTCACAAAGCTCTGCCCCCCCCCCCCAAATAAAACGTGCTTCAAATCGCTTTAAACTATTGCCATTGCAGTGCGTATTTAACGTGCCGCTGCAATCTGATGTTATGGGAGAAAACATTTATTAAAAAGTCTATTTAATGAATCAGAACGTGTTGTCTATATTTATTTAAAGTTGCGAATTTTGATGTTACGTCACGTTTCTCTCAAACCCCCCCCATCCTCCCCCACCCCTCCCTCCTAGGTGCGTGACGTCATTTATGGACGGCCCCATAACAAAACCAGAGACCGGAGAAAGCCCAGGCGTGTGCTAAGAGTACAACACTCTATCCCATACCGCCGTCTCCTGGCAAGCCACGGTATTGCCACCCTGACGAGGCCCAAGGGAGTCGCTTTGTGCGACCCCACCACAACCAGCGCCTCCGCCGAAGCGGTTCGAGCGACGAACCCGGCCCGCCGACTTTCGATTCCCGCTCACGGCCAACACCACGTGACGATTACATCTGAAACCGGTGCTGGTGCCTCGAACGAGTCACCCGGTGCGATGGTGCATAAGGGACCGTCCATATATGACGTCACGCACCTAGGGGGGGGACGGGGGGGGGGTCAGACATTCGTGACTATGTGGAACGAGGGGGGGGGACGGGGGTTTGAGAAATGTGACGTCACATCAAAAATGCGCAACTTTAAATAAATATAGACAACACGTTATACTTAATTAAATTGACTTTTTAATAAATGTTTTCTCCTACAACATCAGAGTGCAGCGGCACATTAAATACGTACTACAATGACAATAGTTTAAAGAGATTTGAAGCATGTTTTAATTTGGGGGGGGGGCAGAGCTTTGTGACGTCATATTTGAGGGGGGGGGGGTCTGACTTTTTATGACGCCGTGTGACGAAGGGGGGGGGGTCAAAAATCGCCCAAAATCGCGTGACGTCATTTATGGATGACCCCTAAGCATCATCACCACCACCACCGGGGAGACAAAGGCGACCGGCCGTGGTTGCTGGCCACCCGACAACCCAGCCCCCTCGTCTTCTTCATAGGCGCTGCTACTCGCTAACAGCACTTGCCCCAACAGTCTGTTGAGGCTACACGGGGGGGGCGTATCTTTGTCTTTGTTCCTCTATCACACGCGGAAGAGCACGGAGGGTTGGAGGTGGGGGTGGAGGTGGGGGGGTGAAGGTGGGGGGGTTGGAGGTGGGGGGTTGGAGGTGGGGGGGGAGGGGTTGAAGGTGGGGGGAGAGGGGTTGAAGGTGGGGGGGTTGGAGGTGGGGGGGTTCGAGGTGGGGGGGGTTCGAGGTGGGGGGGGAGGGGTTGAAGGTGGGGGGGTTGGAGGTGGGGGGGTTGGAGGTGGGGGGGGAGGGGTTGAAGGTGGGGGGGGCGGTGCCAGGAGGAGGGGGGGCGGTGCCAGGCGGAGGGGGGGCGGTGCCAGGCGGAGCGGGGGCGGTGCCAGGCGGAGCGGGGGCGGTTCCAGGCGGAGCAATCGCAGCGCCGAGCATCCTCCATGGTTGATGCCCGGCGGCTTCCCCAATCAACTCGCACCCATCCATGAGCGCGACCCGCGTTCACCGCCGGTCACGCGTGCTCCTCGTGAACCTCACACCACCCTCTCCTCCTCCTCCTCCCCCCTCAGTGTTCACGCGTTAAACGGGGAGGAGACGGCGACAACGGAACATCGCCGTGGTGACCGCATGGCGGGGGAGAGAGAAAGCCACGCGAAGTCGTCGTCAAGGAAAGCCGCGGCCGCCGAAGGCCCGTCGACTCGTGTCGAGTTCTCGGTGGGTCGCGCGCGAGTCGTCGCCACGATGGAGTTAATACTAACAAACAACAACTAACAAACAACAACTAACAAACAACGACGAGACGCACGTGTCTAATGTCGCGCTCTTGTCTTCGCGTGCGGTTTTTACGTGAAGCCCGGATTCATTAAACCAAGGCCCTAGTTATAATATTACTAGCGGGAAGTACCCGGCGTTAAATATACTTCAAAACTTATCTTAAAAACCTTACTTATTATACATACACAGACACTAAGGTATCGTGAAAGCCCGGTGGGCCGTTTGTCCACTATATAAATATTCTCAATGTCCCCACCAATATAGTTTTTTTTATTTAAAAAAAGTAATAATAATCGCTATGCTATGTAAATAAAAACAACAATTTGCTAAACCTTGGCCACAATATCTGGACTTGCCTTAATATCAATCAATGCATAGCTTTCTGTTTATACGATTGTGGTTACGGTTGTACTTTATTGAGCCCTTATCTCAAACATTACATACAATGAAACAAGAAATGGTAAAAAAGTAAAAACAGCAATGTAATACAATACACTACTAGACATTATTGTACAAAAAAAGTCCATCCCATGTGTTAGTGAATTTATTTTATGTTTTAGGCAGGAAATTAGTTTTCAAATGTAGATATTTTTTTCTGAGTTGGGACCCCCTGAAAGATTTGGGCCCCCCCAATGTTGACTCCATGGCTACGTCCTTGCATTAAACCTCTCACTTGATGCATTAAACCTCTCACTTGATGCATTAAACCTCTCACTTGATGCATTAAACCCTCTCGCTTGATGCATTAAACCTCTCGCTTGATGCGTTCGCGTGTGATGGAAGCGGTGTTACAAGTTCATTGAAGCAGGTGGGGTTATTTTTTTGTATTTTAACGCGATGTTGGCTTTTATAACTCGTTTTGAGGCAGACTGTGGGTTGTGAGTCACGTTGTGGACCAGTTTGGTGTTTTAACATCTTAACACAAACTGGTTTATTGCCAGAAAGGGTAAAACCCATTCTTATACTGTCAAGGGGGAGGTCCCATCATGTAGCTGCTCACCCCGAGCTCTCAAAGTTCTGATAGTGGCATTGTCCTGGTGCTGTTCGCCTTTTGGCGTCCTCTGGTCTAACGCTGGTTGAGACAGAAAGCTGTCTCTGGTGTGGACCAATCAGTTTTAAAGACAATGCATCGTCATATACTACCAGAGGATGTTATTGTTTGCATGTTCACCACAAGTGTATGTGATTCCTTGCAAGAGGTTTCAGTTTGGTGTTTTAACATCTTAACACAAACTGTTTTATTGGCAGAAAGGGTAAAAGCTGTTCTTCTACTTTTGATATTGACAAGGGAGGTCCCATGATGTAGGCTGTGAGTTGTGAGTCAGGCTGTGAGTTGCGTCAGGCTGTGAATTGTGGACCAGGCTGTGAGTTGTGGACCAGGCTGTGAGTTGTGAATCAGGCTGTGAGTTGAGTCAGGCTGTGAGTTGCGTCAGGCTGTGAGTTGTGAGTCAGGCTGTGAGTTGTGTACCAGGCTGTGAGTTGTGGACCAGGCTGTGAGTTGTGAGTCAGGCTGTGAGTTGTGGACCAGGCTGTGAGTTGAGTCAGGCTGTGAGTTGTGAGTCAGGCTGTGAGTTGTGAGTCAGGCTGTGAGTCAGGCTGTGAGTTGTTCGGCTGTCCGTTGAATCTTGCCGCCAGTCCAGTACTGTGTATAGGACTGGACTGGCATGGCGGATGGTGTGCAGTTCACTGCTAAGTACTGAACCTCTTATGTTGATATTAGCAGCTCCTGGTGTATTTACTGAGCATGAATACTTTTCAAGAAGACCCTGGATATTACCTGACTCGTCTAAACCTTGGACCCCTTCAATCCCTTCTCTTAAAACCTGGCCATAACACATAACCCGGAACGCATCCCCTAAAACTTGACAACCTATACCCATCTCTTCGAATCTGCCCTAAACACCAACACCCAGGTTTTGATTTTCTTGTCAGGGTCGGTGACCCAGTGAATATTTCCGCACACGGCACACCGCATCCAGTATGGCTGTTGCTATTATTCACGTGCCTACTACTACAGTTTGTCAGCAACCAGGAAAATATTCAGTGACACAGGTTTTATACCCACATAACCAATGTCCTAAAACCTGACTTGGCAGCCAAAGATTGGAAAAACACCCGAGAAAAACGTCCAGTGTGGAGCTGGAGTGATGAAATTAGCTTAGATAGACTGACAAACTTGGGTGACAGCAAGAGGAGGCCTTCATCCAGAGGTGGATTGAGCGTGGCTTGTTATGATGATCCAAAAGGGTGAACAAAAACCCTTCAACCACTCGAGGCATTGCATTGACCACAATGGAAAACACAGACTCAATTCTTCGAATCGAATCATGACCTCGAATTATGACAATTCATGATACAGTATCCCAAGGAGGTGAATGGTTCGATGGTGAGTAGATACTGCACCGGGACATTGCTATTATTTATTGTATTATTACCCTTGCGTAATCTGCAAAGCCTCACTGAGTCTCGTGACTTTTCCAGGAGGGTCTTTCCAATTATTCACAGTAGGGGGCAATGTTTGCTTAAATTTCATCCCATTTTGAGTCATTTGCAGTGTCGTTTTCGAAATTTAGGCCATGACGCCAGTCGACAATGGGTTAGCCTTGCAATCGACGTCACGCGATCTTTAACGTCCGCATTAAAGCAGACGGCATTCATTTTTTGCGGTTGATACACACCACAGTAACGACCAGGGTGGCTGTTTTAATTCAAACCGTGAACCTGCACCAAGTGGCAAATGCCCCGCCGCTAGGTTACATCACCGCAGGCGATCGTCACGGCGGTGGTGATTGATGGTTGCGATGTGTCTGCATGCTGCGTGCGGAGATGCAGGCCGAGGAGCAGTTGCCGGCATCGTGCGTCGCCATGTGCCCCGAGGGGGAACGCGCCGAGCGCGAGCGCAAGCGGCGACTCCATCGCCTCGAGCTGCTGCCGGGCTCCGAACGGGAGCGGCTGCCCAGGGCCGACCCGGCTCGTGCTGTCAAGGTGAGCGAGCTGTTGGACCTATTGATGATGTTAATAATAATCTTGAGAATGATTCGTTGTTGTAACAGCGCCCCGAATGCACGTCGGGGCATCTCACAGCGCTTTACATCAACATCCCAGTTCACACATTTGAAAGCGTGCCCCCCAGTGGCACTTAGGGGACTCGAATTTTAAAAATTGGGATCGCACACGATGGCCTTCTCATGTGAATGATGTCAGGGATCTTTAACGTCCACTGTGAAGCGGACGGCATGTATTTCTGTGGTCAATTCACCCACAGTATTAACCAGGGCGGCTGCTAAATTCGAACTGGGAACCTCTGCAACAAGGGGCGAACGTTGCTACCGGTGAGGCCATGCAGCGTCATTTACGTGCAGCTGCATCACACAATTCTGTGCAAGCTGCAAGCTTCGAGAAGCATATATTAAGATATCTTCTGATGAGTGTCTATACATGAGAGGGGAATATCAGACCACCCGGAGTAAACTCACACGAGCGTGGGGACAAAAAGCTAATTAAAAACGTTTTATTTTACCAGATAAGGCCCCACTAAGTTGTATAGCTCTTTTTCAGAAGTGACCTGGCCACAAATGAGAGCTCAACGAAGTGGTTTATCGTGTGGACATGTATTGCAGCCAAACACTCTAAAAGCATGTTTCTAAATGTGGAGGGAAAAACCGGAGGACCCAGAGAAAAATCCACACAACCACAGGGAGAACACGCAAACTCCAAATAGGCGTCATGGTCAGGATCGAACCCACGGCCTCTTCTATACCAGGCGAGGTGTTTAACATCTCGCCACCATGGCGCCCTACAGTCATATACAGATGGTACATATGGAGATTAGTCCAAACCAGCTGTACCACATTCTCCTGGAAGGTCAGAGTATCATCCTAAATGCCTGCAGGGAGTGTCACTACATTTGCATGATCCACCAATCCCCACTGCCTCCACGGTGCTGGATTTCCAGCATGCGCGACCATCGCCCGTCTGCCACTATCGTCACACGCTTATCCTCATATTTTACCCAAGTCTCAATAATAATTCGCGTCGTGGAGAATATAACTTACAAATGAAGTAAGCAGACAATACGCCTCCTTCCCATGTGTGTTCCTCCACGTTAAAAAATGAAGTGTTTTTTTTTACATATCCTATCAGCCACAAAGTTTTCTGGGAGTGATTTTTTTCTCGCAGCTTTGGTTTAATGTAAGCAAAAACTGTACCGGTTTTAATAGTGTCTCATCAGTAGTCCAGCTTGCTTAAATCAATACTGGAGAACAGCCAGACGTTTATGGGTGAGGACTCTCTCTTATTAGATATGGGTCCTTGTTCATTAACTACACATGAATATCTTGTCATGTATTACTTTATGTAGTTTTGTGTCATACTTGGGCCCATATTTCACGGAAATATTTTGCTTGTTAAATACTAAATACATGATCGGTGGGCCTTAAATGACAGTGACGGGTAATCACAATATCAGCTACCTTATATGCGTTCTCCTTAACAAGCAGTGGCGATTGACAATCTTTCCACGGGATGAAATAAGCTTACTCAATATTTTCCTTTCCCTCCGCTCCATGACGCGACGCTTGACACGTCAGGAGTACTCGCGCCCGGCCGCCGGCAAGCACCGGCCGAGGGCCTCGGAGCTGCGTCCCCCGGCCGTGCTGCTGCGCACCGTCGACTACTTAATCGACGGCGTGCTGTGCCCGGCAGACGAGGCGTCGGCGCGCTCCACGCCGTTCGCCGAAGCCTACGAGTTCACCTTCGACCGCCTGCGCGCCGTGCGCCAGGATGCGGTGGTGCAGCGCGCCGGAGGGCCGCACATCGTGCTCGTGCTGGAGAAGAGCGTGCGCGTGATGGTCTACGCCACCTACCGCCTCTGCGAGGAGACGCTCGCCCGCTTTGAGCCCACCATCACCGACTGCCACCTGCAGGAGTGCTTCAGCTGGCTGCTGCGGAACTACTCATCCGAGCGCTGCCACAACGAGGGCGACTTCCAAGCCCTGCACCTCCTCTACAACATGGGTGCGTGCGGCGCGAGTCAACATTCAGAGCGGGCCTGTGCGATTGATGCCCACGGTCGGTTCTCGTGCAGTGCACGCGCCAGGATACATACCTCAGACGCGTACAGCCCTTTAGTCGATCCGCTTGCTTGGATGGGGGAATTTTCTTGCCGTTCACTTGTGGGGGTTGTTTCACCAAATGGGTTCACTACGAGTTCCAGAGTGCTCATTTTCCCCACATGGTGGAGACCACTGAAACAGGTTTTACCACTGTGCTCCTTGCCAAAGTGATTCCTTTCCGCAAGCCCCGACTGATTGATGGCGGGGATTAACCTGGCCAGTTGTCTAATGTGGCACTCTTCTAGGACGTTGTAAGTGCCCTCTGCGCAGCCTGTCGTCACCGTGAGAACGAGGCATTGCGTGCAGGGCGTGCTTTCGCATGTGCGCGATGGCCACGTGGTCGAGCTTTGCCTTTGTCTGGGGACCAGAGGAATGCTTCTTGTACAGGGAGGACACCTGTTGGTGTACGGCTGCGAAGCCATACACAAATCCAAACTCTTCATAAATAAGAACTTGTTTTAAGTCCTGTTTCACATTAGTTTAACACGTAGGCATTCACGACCAATATCATCCATATGGAGAGCAAATCTACAACGGATTTGTTCTCCAACACACCGGTGTGCTGTACTAGTAACGAATTGGTATGTTCTGTTTACGTGACAAACCTGGCTAATTGGCTGTGTCAGGTGGTGGTGGGGTTAACGGCACATTTAAAGACTTACAGCTTTCGTGACTGCAGGAATTCATATTCTTTGGGTCTTTCGGTAAAGTCATGTAGAACAAAAAGCTATGACATTTCGATCGCAACACAAGCAATCGTCATCCTTTTTTCCTCCTGATGACGATTGGTTGTTGCGATCGAAACGTCGTAGTTTTGTTATTTTTTTGTTCTACTTGACTTTACCCAAAGACATTTATATTTACACGATCTAACCCAAAATAACCTATTCCGTTTCACATTGTTTGACTCAATGTTACTCAAAAGCTATGTTTATTTATGCAAGTATTCACAAAACCCCATTAATATTATTTCCTGTCTTGTTGATATTCATCAGGTTCCTTCAAAGCAATGCACTACGCATTGCAGCGACCGCCAGAGATCCGGAACTCCCAGGTCATGCGACTTGCCTTGGACATAAATCGCTGCTACCTCGAGGGGAATTTTGTGCGCTTCTTCAGACTGGTGCGGCACCTCCCCTTCCTGCACAGCTGTGCCGCACATCGCCACTTCCGGTTCGTGCGGCAGCAGGCGCTGCGCACCTACTCGCACGGCCATAGCGTGCGCAACTGCCGCTACCCGCTGGCGCGTCTGTCGGAGCTGCTGGGTTTGGACAGCGCCGGCGAGGCGCGGAGCCTGTGCCAACACTGCGGCATCTTGGTCGGCGAAGATGGTTGCATCGCCTTTCAGAAAACAGCCATGAAAGCCCCTGTGGATCTGCCGAAGTCGGCTCGGTGCGTCGCCCTTGTGGACAGCAAGCGCGAGGAGTGGACCCTGAGAGAGATCCTCCATGGCTTGCAGCACCAAGAGGAAGACGCTGCCTAATTGGTGTATGCTTGTGCTATTGGGAATTATTGGCAGTTTCCACAATGGAGAGGTCTAATTTTTTAAGATATATTTTAAAGTATTTTTTTACACCCGTTTCAATAAATGCGTATAATTGTAAAATGTGCAAGTCTACTTGTTTAAAAAAAGTTATTTCATTTATAGCCCATTGTCAATCTACTGTGTGGTATGAAGGCCTCCCTACACCTGACCATACTTTACCAGGCTTGCAGTGTAGGTTCGTGAAGGGTGTGCCAAGAACCGGATCAGTTATCACTCACCACTGGGGAGGGGCTGCATTATTGCTTCACCCGTTTTCGGATTTAAAAAATTGTCAGTTTTCAATTAAGTCATAAAACTGGCATTATAAATATTTGTCCGTACCAAATGGTGCACATCTAAATAATGTTAAGTTCTTGTGCTGCGTGTGTTGGGATTGCCATTCGTGGGCAGGTCATCCCACACCCATGGCAACACTGCCTAAGTGAAGCATACACGAACACTGTCCATGCTCTGTGAACCAGTTTTTGTTATTTGGTGATTCAGGCGAGATATACTTGTACATGTGTAGTGGGTTCGAATTAGGTGCACACACAGCTTGGAGGCAACACTATTTATTAGAACGGTAAGTAATATAACACTGTACATAAGGTGGTGACCACCTTCCTCAACTCACTAACAACTCTGGAACACTATACAGCGTGACCCAGGCAGGCAACAGGCTGTTGGTCCCAGGCGATGACCCGGGACTTGAGGATCGATGATGTCTTCACTTCGGGGTTGAACAGCCCCACTCTGCCTTCACACCCCGCTTATAACCGCTCTGGCGTGGCCGGCTCTGCCCAGGCCACGCCTCCCTTCCCCCACCTCTGGGAAGGTCCGGGTCCTCCACCACGTGACCCCCCAGGCACCCCCAGTCCTTGTACGGGCCTACACAGTAGTGACGTCCCATGTCACTACACGTTCTCTTTATTTGTCTGAAAAAACAAAACCCCATGTGAGTACAGAAATGTGAAATGGCTGTGCATCTTGGTAAGTTGTATATATCACAAAAAAAACTCTGATCAGTAAAATTGGTAGGTTACCAAGTATTAGGCATTTTAAATGAAAGCAATGAAAACGTTGATCTTAAAACATTTAGGACTTATGGACCCTCATTGAGAAACATTACCGTTCTATCTTGACTTAAAGCTTTCGTGACTGCAGGAATTAATATGCTTGGGTCTTTCTGTAAAGTCATGTAGATAGGTTTAAAAAAATGACAAAAAAACTACGTTTTGACCGCTTGTGTTGCAATCGAAACGTAGTAGTTTGTTATTTTCTTTGAACCTATCTACGTGACTTTACCGAAAGACCCAAGAATATGAATTGCCGTTCTAATTTTAGGATTTCTGTTATCCAAAATACTTCCTGTGAACATATGATCCATATCTCTGAGTACAATTAAATTCTAGCAAGACTAAAAAATTGTTGGTACACCATGATACAACAGACACGATCAAAGAATGACACCTGTAGGACTGTAACCTTATGTTTTAAACAGTATTTGCAAATGTTTATTCTAAGCTCAAAAAAGGATTCACACCTTTATGTAAAGGAAATTTGTAGTGTGATGTTCTTTACCGCTTTAAGGACCACCACAAGACACGATGGACACAATAGGTGATATATTCAGACGACGGCTTTGTTAGAAATGCTGGGAAGGACAAAACTGCAGTACTCATGATCATTTAAGTATATTCTACATTAACAAATCCCATTTTAAGGTAAATACTGGTTAGAAATTGAACAGCCATTAAGTTAGTGAGGTGAGCACAATTGCACTGAACACCAGTCATTCCATTTAGTCCAAGAACCCAGGCAAGAGATTTAATTTGTTGGTACCACCTGAGGTGGCATCACTTTAGTGGTTCCAATACGTAAATATTGTGATGACTTTAAAATGAGTGGGTTATCAAATAATTCACTATTAGTCGTATGAATACATAAGTACGACTAAAGTTTTACTGCTCTGGCCCATGGACTGTGCAGACGCATGATTTATGATCCTACACACGAGTAGCTCAATGCTACATTTCTAGGCTAGGTAAGTCAGGGCAAAAATGCAAATTAATAATGCCAATGGACTGCAAATCTTCACCTTCTAATCAGTTTGCATAACACTGCCCCTCGCTGTACTTTGAGCCAACAAAAGCCATGATCAAAATATTACTATTTTTGTTTAGAGGCAATAATTGAAACCCAACGGATGCTAGTGAGTAAAGGGACCCCCCCCCCCCTCTGGCGCCATTAATTTTACTCTCCTACACAATCCTTTGCAAATGTGCAATGTTTAGGCTGGCACTGCTGTAACAAGGAATAGTTAAGCCAAAAAATGGAACTCACTAGGTCAGTGTTACATGGCAATACGACAACAAAAATAATTGTATAAACTATCAATTGGTTTTGCATCACTTCATTACTACTGGTAAAAGAAAACGTCTGCATTTCACAAATTTTAGTTCAATATAAAGGGCAAATGGTACAGCATCCTTTTACAGATGATTACTCTAACATTTTAAGCACAACCTAAAATGGGCGCCGCGCACAAAATCATCTCAGTCACTCGAGCATCCCACGCTTTTTGCTTGACCTGGTGTTCTTAAATTTATTCCTGGTGTTTGGCTTCTGCAGAGCCACTAAAGGGGAGCTCATCTCTCCAGCCTTGGCCTTCTTCTTAACGATATTCTCCTTGACAGGGGTGTCGGAGGCAGCATCAGTATTGGTGGGGGTAGCTTCATTTGCCACTTGTGCCTCCTCGGTGGTAGATATTTGCTCCTCTGCATCTGCCTCTGAGGTTTCCTTCTGGGTTGGGTCTTCTTCCACGGAGCTGAGAGCACTGTCTTGCTGAGATTGCTCAGGAGTGGGTGGAGGAACCTGCGATAAACAGTGAGTTGTGGCATCTCTGCAAATAAAGGAGGGTTCACTATGCTGTGGTTTACTGTGCAATGCGGCATTGCATCTGCGCACAAGACAAGAGCTGGATTCGGTTGATGTAGCATCACATGGGTTTTCAAGGGTTAACATACCTGTATTTTGTACATTATATCGAGGTTTGCAGAATACTTACATATTTATGGACATAAAATGTGTGAAAATATGTTTAGGTAAAGAGTGCTTAATTAATCGTCATGTACTTACATTGGCAGCAACGGAGGTGTCTATGTTCTCATTGGCAAGGGTTTGGCTGGAAGGAGTGGAGACCACTTTCTTTTCGCCGTTGTCTTGCTCCGCTGCTGCTTCGTCTGCTCCACTTACATGCACAGCAGCGTTGCTGGTGTCTCCTTGCACGCCGTCTCCCTCCACATTGTCCGTCTCCACGCCTGGAGCAGCGGCCGAGCCTTCATCGTTTTCCGTCACTGCTGCCGCCTCTGCTGCCACGATGTCACTGGGATCCTCCTCTTCCTCCTTGTCGTGGACATCGCGGCAGATTCATGGCGGGGAGTTGAAAAGTTACAATGCAAAGAACATCAGGCTCAGGGATGACGGAATTCATTTTGTAATACCAAGATGGGGCATTCTCCTCAGTCAATTAAGACATGTATTAGTATTTGTACTCATTTCAAAAGTGGCATATTTGTGTAATTTATGAGGAAATGTCTTAATTTAAGCGAACATGTTTTTTCAACTTTACATTGAGGCTAAACACATTAAATTTTCCCTCCGTAACAGAAGTAAAATTATGGTTAGTTCAGCTTTTAATATAAACTTAGTTTAGTTGGTTATTACTGTTACTACTGCATTAAAATGAAAAGTGTCAGGATAAAGAATCTGCATGAAAGTTCCATGACGATCCCAATCTTGTGGAATGCCCCCTAAATACAGCCAGTTTTCTATTTAGGAGAACTTCGGGGGACGTTTTAGGAAGGGAGAGAGTTAAAACTACTAAACACTAAAACAGGATCCATTTACGTGCAAATAAGTTAATCAAATCTACATTTTTCCAGGTAACTGCAATATGGTAGCATTTTCAACAGACTATACTGTTTATAAGTTTCGTACTTTACTAAGATAAACACATCTCACCTCTTCAGAGTCGTCCACCACCACCACATGGGACGTGTGGATTTCGATTTCAACTTGCTGATTGTTCTCGTCTTTCTGTTCGAGCTTCATTCGCTTTAATCTGGAAGACAAAGTGGTAAACACGGCCACTAACCTAAATGCTGCCGTGTACCGTCACGCAGCAAATTACTCGTGCACATCACCATACATATACAGCACTGCTGGTTGCAGGCTTCCCCACGCTGTCAGATTCAGGAGCGTTATCTAACCATGATTTTTATGCTGTCTATGTGGCCTGGTGAAGGAAGGGATCTCCGGTTAGCGTTGTTGGCTACATATGGCAGGAAAGAAGTTCAACATACGTACATAAATCGGACAAGAAAGCATAGTACAGTATCAACAATCTATTTATAGATTTGAAGCTTTCGTGACTGCAAGGATTCATACTTTTTGGTTTTATTCGGTAAAGTCACGTAGATAAAACAAAATAAAATAATTAAATCCCGACGTTTCGGAGGCAACACAAGCCTCCGTCTTCAGGTGGAAAAGTCAACGCAGAATATCTGTCAGGAGCACAGTTCAGAGACAACCGGGATTATATACAGGTTGAGGGGGGAGGAGTCAGTAAGGGGGCGTGGGTGGGTGGGAGGGCTGGGTTAAGCAGCCTTTTGATAGGCTGCTGCGGGTAACAACCACTTTGCACTGCACGGGAGTGGGTAAAAAACCCACCTTTTGTTATGCTGCGTGTGGGGTCAGGGAGATTTTGGAAGCAGGTGCAAAACGGCTGATGCTGCGTGGGGGGTCGGGGGGGTTTTGAAAGCGGGTGCAAACGGCTGAAGCTGCGTGGGGGGTCGGGAGGGATTTTGAAAGCGGGTGCAAACGGATGTTCAATTATAAGGTAGCTAAAGTTTGAAATACAACCACTGAGAAAAGGAAATGGCTGTTCAAAAAATTGAGAGGCAGCTAACGTTTGACTTGATTTGTAACATCTTTCCAGTGATTGCTCAATTTGAAACCATCCTCTCGGTTGAAGTTGTGTCTGTGTTTGTAAATCTGGATGGCCTCGTGGACAAATCTCTGATAATAACCGGTAGAATTTTGATTTAAAGCTTTCGTCATTGCAGTAATTCATATTCTTAGTTCTTTCGGTAAAGTCACATTGAAGGGAAACAAAAAAATAATAAAATATATATAAAACAATAAAAATTCTCACGACGTTTCGACACACCTGATGACGACCGTTTGTGTTATGGTCGAAACGTCGTGAGAATTTTTTTTGTTTTATATATATTTTATTATTTTATTGTTTCCCTTCAACGTGACTTTACCGAAAGAACTAAGAATATGAATTACCGGTAGGTTTGCAGAGTACCTTGGTATCGGAGAAAGCAATATCATGATCACCCAGCATTGTAACAATGATCAGCCACGGCAGAAGAATTCGTTCTGCCGTTTTTCAAATCTGATTTGTGCTCGCGAATTTGGTCAGAGATATGTCGCTTCGTCTCCCCAATATAGCAGTCCCCGCAGGTACAACTCAATTTGTAAACACCGGGGTACTGTAAGTCAGGAATAAAATCCTTTACTGACGGGATCAGATCACGGATTTTGTGCACTGTGTTGAACCGGACCTGGCTCTTGTTTGTTTAGAATTTTGGAAATCTTTTTAGTAACGCCTGCTATGTATGGTAATGTGATGATTTTGATCGGAGTGTCAAGTGGTTGTTTCTGTATGGTGGGAGAAACAGCTTGGCGGATGGTACGGTCAGAGTAACCGTTCATCTTGAGGGCCAAATGTACATGTTTTAATTCACTGGTCAGGTGGTGTTTGTCAGAAATGCAATGAGCCCTATAGATTAACGTTTTGATGAGAGAATTCTTCTGAGTCGGGTGGTGGTGGGAATCAGGTTTCAAGTAGGAGTCTGTGTGGGTGGGCTTCCTGCAAACAGAAAGTCCCAAAGAGCCATCAGGCCTTCTCTCAAACAGGACATCCAAGAATGGTAGCTTGCCATCTTTCTCCACTTCCATGGTAAATTTGATGGAAGGGTGTCTCTTTGGGACATTCTGTTTACAGGAAGCCCACCCACACAGACTCCTACTTGAAACCTGATTCCCACCATCACCCGACTCAGAATAATTATCTCATCAAAACGTTAATCCATAGGGCTCATTGCATTTCTGACAAACACCACCTGACCAGTGAATTAAAACATGTACATTTGGCCCTCAAGATGAACGGTTACTCTGACGTACCATCCGCCAAGCTGTTTCTCCCACCATACAGAAACAACCACTGACACTCCGATCAAAATCATCACGTTACCATATATAGCAGGCGTTACTAAAAAGATTTCCAAAATTCAAAACAAACACAAGATCCAGGTCCGGTTCAACACAGTGCACAAAATCCGTGATCTGATCCCGTCAGTAAAGGATGTTATTCCTGACTTACAGTACCCCGGTGTTTACAAATTGAGTTGTGCTTGCGGGGACTGCTATATCAGGGAGACGAAGCGACATATCTCTTACCGAATTTGCGGGCACAAATCAGATTTGAAACACAGCAGAACGAATTCTTCTGCCGTGGCTGATCATTGTTACAACGCTGTGGGTGATCATGATATTGTTTTCTCCGATACCAAGGTACTCTGCAAACCTACCGGTTATTATCAGAGATTTGTCCACGAGGCCATCCAAATTTACAAACACAACTTCAACCGATAGGATGGTTTCAAATTGAGCAATCACTGGAAAGATGTTATAAATCAAGTCAAACGTTAGCTGCCTCTCAATTTTTTGTACAGCCATTTCCTTTTCTCAATGGTTGTATTTCAAACTTTAGCTACCTTATAATTGAACAGCCGTTTGCACCCGCTTTCAAACCCCCCCCGACCCCCCACGCAGCATCAGCCGTTTTGCACCCGCTTCCAAAATCTCCCTGACCCCACACTCAGCATAACAAAAGGTGGGTTTTTTACCCACTCCCGTGCAGTGCAAAGTGGTTGTTACCCGCAGCAGCCTATCAAAAGGCTGCTTAACCCAGCCCTCCCACCCACGCCCCCTTACTGACTCCTCCCCCCTCAACCTGTATATAATCCCGGTTGTCTCTGAACTGTGCTCCTGACAGATATTCTGCGTTGACTTTTCCACCTGAAGACGGAGGCTTGTGTTGCCTCCGAAACGTCGTGATTTAATTATTTTCTTTAATTTTGTTTTATTTTATCTACGTGACTTTACCGAATAAAACCAAAGAGTATCAACAATCTATTTTGCTGCACTGACACCTGCTGGTCACCACGCAGTCACGCAGCATATAACACCAACGATCCTTCAGATGTAAAATTACAGGTGGTGCCCTCTTACTTTCTGCCGGCGTTTGAGCTGTTCTTGGGGGACTCCTGTCCTGCCAGCACCTCGGAGAGACACACGAAGAGCTCCTCCGAGTGGAGCCGTTTGTGCTTCACATCTCTCTCCTTAATACCGATCGGGGTTTCCTCGATCCCTGAAACCCAGCAGACCATGTTACCTTTTGCTCTCCCATGAGAATGACATTCAAAGTGAGGTATTATACAGAACAAAATGCGTGGCCGTGTGCTAATAAACACAACAAGGAATTATTTTAAAACATGGTCGTGTTTTAAGAGGTTGGAAGAGTGGACACTACTGTGCACTATAAAACTGGTGATCTTGAGTTCACCATCTCGGCCACATTTTGCAGCAGCGAGTGATATCTTGGACCCTCTCCCCAACCAACGATTCACTAGCCAGCACTCACCGGTGCAGTGAAGTATTTTAAGTGCAGTTTTATGGTATTATGTTCAAAGAACCTAAATTTAATAACCTAATTTGCAAGTTTTGTTTTTGACATTTTACTTGTTCTAGGAATCGACCAATTACCATTGGTTACCAAATAATAAAAAAGTACCCAACATCACTTTAGTGAAAAACAAACGTGCATACGCATGAAAATTCACATGCACATGGATTTTAGAACGCTTTTCAACATGTTTGTCCTCGGAAGTAATTAATTAGCGATGATAAACATCCGTTCCAAGTCGCCACAATGAGATGACGTTACTCCATTTGTATGAGGGTTTGGGGGGGGAGGTGCGGACAAGACATACTACGTAGAAAGATGCCATTCATTATTGCCTTCGTTGCCAAGGATAATCGTCATAGAGCTGGGGTTTATCGCTAAGATTTGGGCAACCGTCAAAGTGGCATGTTTTCTGTCGGGCAAGTCACTAACAGCAACACAACTTGATATTATTTTTTTGAATTTACCATTGGATTATCTTTATAAGTTATCTTGCCCCCTTCCCCCCCCCTACAAACATACTGACAGAAAGACAGATGGACATGGTTGATGCATTAACGCTTTCAATCTTGGTTGGAAAGCATTAATAAGGCAATCTGGACTTTTAGATTGTAAGGGCAACCTGTGGTCAATTTAAACTGCACTTACGATAGGTTTGATATAAATGAACTAACAAAAACGCGAAGTTAAACGCGCGCAAAAAACATGGGGGGGGGATGGTAACATCACCAATGGTGGACAAGGTTTGCTGTGGGCCTTACCAGAGTCTACGGACTGCGCTGGGTTGGATCTGGTTGCTGATTTTTGTGTCGTTGAGGTTGACTCCTCATCTTCCTCCTCCTCACTCAGCATATTTCCTGATTGTGTTGTCCCGTTGACAACACAAGGGGTTAAAGGTGGTGGTTAAATGGATTCAAAGTTAAAGTGTCCACTCAAGGAACACAGCATTGTTTTTTGTTTGGATATATGTGAATTAACGTCTTAAAAGATTGTATGCCTGTAGCCTATTTGAAAAATAGAAACATTTTCTGTATTGTTCTCTTTCATACAACATCTGATCTTTTTGGTTATATTTAATTTTCAACAGAAGTAAAAAAAAACTCAATAACTTACCATCTTCATCTTGAATCACCATCACAGGAATAGAGTACCCCAACGGAGACCCTTCCTAAAACAGACAAAAGTGTTGAGTGAAACTGGACATACTCCATCATGAAAACAGAGATAGTCCAATATTTTGGGCAATCCCCCTTTTTCAGAACAGGAAGGGCAGATAGGTTATGGCAATATTTAATAATCATGATTTATACTCCTTCATCGATCACTGCTGAAGGCCTCTCTATGCATGTCGTTCACTGCTGATTTATGCCGTTACCTGGAATCGAATTGAGTTCATAATACAGTGCACACTATTCACTGTGCAATCGCTTCTGCAACTGTTCGTGTTTACAATTTTTACATATATCAATCCCCTGTATCTACACCACTGCTAAATGTAATAAGATAGGTTGATCCAATTTGAAGTCTGTGTGATCCCATTTTAAGTCTGTACCATACCAGGGCCCCTACAAACACAACCTTCTAAAATAATTGCAATGGGAATTTGATCACATGCAGCATAGGGTGACCAACCTGGCAGTTATGCTCTGGAGTATTGAGTGGCTTTGCATCACCATCACTCATGGGCGGTTCTTCTTCCGCTTCCTCCATATTCACCTTCTCTTCATCTTCAGAGGGCATCTCTTCCGCTATATTTTTCATGGGCGGATCGTTGTCCGTATCATCTGCGAGCGGCGTTAATTTCTTGTTGTCATCTGTTGGCAATTGCTCTTCATCTTCAACAAGTATTGGCGTTTCGTCATCTTTGACAACCACCTCTTTGTCCTCCGTGGGCAGATCTCCTCTGTATACAGCTGTGACTTCATCTGCACCATTGGAGATGGATGATTCCTCATTGCTGGAGGGTGGCTGTTTCCCGATGTCATCTCCTGGTAGCTCTTCGTCCGCATCGCTCTGCAACAGCTGCTCTCCAGCATTCGAAGGAGGAGCATGCGCTTGCATGACCTCCTCTGTTGATGTTTGTATGGCCACGCTTTGCCTCTCCACCGGTGCGTCTGCGATGGCAGTGCGGTTCTCTCTCCTCGGCTCTGTGAAACAGTGACGCCACGGTAATGGTTGTGCAATCGGGGATTATCTCAGCACCATCTGCCATTTGCATCATTTCAACTTTTTTCTATGTGGACTAGAATTAAAAAAACGTTGCGATACTGTATGGATACACTAAGATGTCTGGGGCCTCTGGCAATCGGTGCATACGGTATGACCTTTAAAAAAAATTCAGTCCTTAAAAATACCACTCGCATTGATTTCATGAAATAATATATTATTTATACGTGACTTTACCGAAAAAAAACTAAGATTAATTCCTGCAGTCACGAAAGCTTCGAACCAAGTTTAAACCGCCTCTACGGGGAGGTATAAGGTCTGTATCTTTGTGTCTGTCTTTGTGTTGTCTTGTGTTGTCTGTGTGTTGTCTCTGCTTGTGTATCTGCCTTTGTGTCTGTGCTTGGATTTGTTTCTCTGTGCTGTCTCTGCCTGTGTGTAGGTCTTGGTGCTTCCGAATGTTTGCTGCCGTGCTCCACTTTGCTCTATGCATACCTCATGCTAAGATGTCCCATTGTCTCTCAGCCTTGCCTTCTCATGCTAATATGTCCCATTGTCTCTCAGCCTTGCCTTCTCTGCCTATTTAAGGCGACTTCACTGTGTGCTTGTACCTGTGCTGGTCCGCTCTACTTGAATGTCTATGTGTGTGTGTGCCGTCTGTCTTAAATTTCATACTTACCTTGCAATTTAGCAATCTTTGAAATAACGTAATCAACCAGGCTATGCGTTTATTGTGTTTTGACCGACCATCTGTGTTGCTTTATATGGTTTCCAAATTCTGCTAAACTCTGTCTGTTTTGTATGCTTCTCTCTCTGTGCCCCCTATTGTGTCGGTGTTAGTTCCCCCGACTTGGGTGTCTGTGTATACATCTGGGGTTGTGTGTTTCCCCTCTCTCTTAAATTTAGCTCTACTGTACCTGATGATGGCTGCTTGTGTTGCAACCGAAACGTCGTGCGCTATTGTGTTATTTTGTTGTTTCTTATTTATACGTGACTTTACCGAAAAAAAACAAAGATTAATATATTACAAGTTCATGTTTTTTTTTACTTCACGTCAAAAATCAATATTCCTATGCTGTAATTAGCACGGGGTAGTGCTTATCTCTAACAGTGGCTCTGAGAAAATGACCTAAATTCCATGTTCTTGTTGAGAAGCCAGTCTCTCACAAAAACCAAAGCTGTAATGTCACCGAGTGATGCTGGTTTTACAGAGGAGGGACAGGTACAATGAACCCTGCCCGGGATGGAAACTCACAACCTTAGGATTATGAGCGATTGTTCCAACTGACCCTGTAAATTAAACTAATGAGTTGTTGCACAAATTATGCAACCTCACTGTCAAATAAAAAAAATCAACCTAATAATATGGCATGTAATTTTGATGGTAATTGACAATAGTTTTGGAAATTGCAGCTTATTTATGCAAAAAGACAGTGACTTAACAAACACATGAAATGTTAAGCATTATCACCATCCAAGAGTGCAAAGTGCAAGTAAAAGTCAGTTTTTGAGTCTGTCAGACATTATGGTTTTTTATGAGCATTTCTCTCATCAATAAAGGTAGTCAGATGATTATTTATACCGGAATTACAGTTCCAATTAACACACTATACCCAAGTATAAAGCCACAATATGATACCCAAATTAAATTGTCTAAAATGATGTCTAAAGTTGTGGAACTGCCCTAATTTATCTTATACTAACAATAATCCAAAATAAAAACACCCCCTAATAAACAACTATTAAAAGCTGATAAAACCGATAACGCTGCTGCTGCTGCTACAAACCGGCAACGTGCGTGGCGTTTATAAGCGTGTGAATGTCGCACTGTGGCTTACTCTGCTGGGGGACCGGCGTACTCTGCAGCTTCTTCCACACATTCACCCGCTGGTACGGATCACCAGGGGCCTGCACCTCCCACAGTAGGTCCAGCTCATTCGGGTACTGCTGCAAATATCTTTCCACCACTGCAATGAAATAAACACCGCCACTACATCGTCTTAATTGAAGGTAGGCAGAGTGACGATGTTACAAAGCACATGCCATTGGTGGAAAGCAGTCTAATAAGTGGGAATATATAATTATGTGAATATACAGTGAGGGAAAAAAGTATTTGATCCCCTGCTGATTTTGTACGTTTGCCCACTGACAAAGAAATGATCAGTCTATAATTTTAATGGTAGGTTTATTTGAACAGTGAGAGACAGAATAACAACAACAAAAATCCATAAAAACGCATGCCAAAAATGTTTTAAATTGATTTGCATTTTAATGATGGAAGAAACACAAAAGAACTGTCGATCTCCCTCGGCCTGGGGCTCCATGCAAGATCTCACCTCGTGGAGTTGCAATGATCATGAGAACGGTGAGGAATCAGCCCAGGACTACACGGGAGGATCTCAAGGCAGCTGGGACCATAGTCACCAAGAAAACAATTGGTAACACACTACGCCGTGAAGGACTGAAATCCTGCAGCACCCGCAAGGTCCCCCTGCTCAAGAAAGCACATATACATGCCCGTCTGAAGTTTGCCAATGAACATATGAATTATTCAGAGGACAACTGGGTGATAGTGTTGTGGTCAGATGGGACCAAAATGGAGCTCTTTGGCATCAACTCAACTCGCCGTGTTTGGAGGAGGAGGAATGCTGCCTATGACCCCAAAAACACCATCCCCACCGTCAAACATGGAGGTGGAAACATTATGCTTTGGGAGTGTTTCTCTGCTAAGGGGACAGGACAACTTCACCGCATCAAAGGGACGATGGACGGGGCCATGTACCGTCACATACTGGCGAGAACCTCCTTCCCTCAGCCAGGGCATTGAAAATGGGTCGTGGATGGGTATTCCAGCATGACAATGACCCAAAACACACGGCCAAGGCAACAAAGAAGAAGCACATTAAGGTCCTGGAGTGGCCTAGCCAGTCTCCAGACCTTAATCCCATAGAAAATCTGTGGAGGGAGCTGAAGGTTCGATTTACCAAACGTAAGCCTCGAAACCTTAATGACTTGGAGAAGATCTGCAAAGAGGAGTGGGACAAAATCCCTCCTGAGATGTGTGCAAACCTGGTGGCCAACTACAAGAAACGTCTGACCTCTGTGATTGCCAACAAGGGTTTTGCCACCAAGCACTAAGTCATCTTTTGCAGAGGGGTCAAATACTTATTTCCCTCATTAAAATGCAAATCAATTTATAAGATTTTTGACATGCGTTTTTCTGGATTTTTTGTTGTTATTCTGCCTCTCACTGTTCAAATAAACCTACCATTAAAATTATAGACTGATCATTTTTTTGTCAGTGGGCAAACGTACAAAATCAGCAGGTGATCAAATACTTTTTTCCCTCACTGTATATATATAATGTTTACTCATGCAGCAAAGACTCATTGAGTCTGAAGACTTCTTCAGCAGAGTTGTAAATTTGGATGTTTGGCAAATTCCAATTTAAGCAGTGTTTTGCATGTGGTAGAAAATGAGTCGTAAAGAAAACGCACAAATATGACGGATAATAAAATACATAGATGGAATCAATAAACATTTTGTTGTTCTGCCATTTCTTGGCCATTCCTGTTGCTCATGGGGAATGGCAGTTTCACAAATGTCAGTGATCCATCAACCCTTGTCATCTCCCAAGTGCTGCATTAGAGGCCTGTGTCCTTTTATAATATACGAAGTGGCAGCTCAACAAGCAATATTCAATGCACAATTAATGTAAATAAACAGTTTATATACTGCACTTGTGGTACTCAATCATTCTGCATGCAGAATATGTATGGAAGATGCATATTGGGGCGTTTAACAATAAACCCTTGGTGATATTTAATGACTGAAACGATGAAGATCTTCAGCCATTTATTCTAAAACAAGCAGCTCACGATGGGATATGCGTTGCTGTATTGCACACATATTTCGTGCAGTCGTCCTGCATGCGGGAAGGGGCATCACCTCGGCACATGGTGGGAGGCAATGGGTACTTGAGGCCCAGCTGATCATCGGGGAAGCTCTGTGTGAAGTCTTGCAGCATGAGGAGGCCCAAGCCTTGCCCGCGACATCTCCGCGTCACGAACATAGAGTCCAGCACGGGCAGCTTATAGTGCAGGCTCACGAAGCTCGTGCACAGACTCCCTGCAAGAGCCACGCACACGCGCCACCCCGACGCGTGGGGGGTACGCACCAACACAGCAGCGGTCGGCGCACAGCTCCTCCATCCTCACAGCTGTTAGCAGTTCGTGTAAAAGGTGCGGACGGGTAACATGATTTCATGTGGTATGTTTAAGTAAAGGGAGAAGTGTAGGGACAGTGGTTTGTGGACTCTACTGTAAACTTGGTGACATGAGTTTGATTCCCAGCCATGACTAAGATCAGTGTGAATTATATCTGAACCGGTTTTAGACCTCAGCCCCTTCACCAATCCTCACTGAGCAGCATCGTGAATTAGTCAAACAACCTCTGTGGGGAGAGCTTCATCCGGCACTGGATTGATAAATGGCCGTAAATCATTCCATCTTTTTATTTAACAAAACAAAAGATGAAATGCGGCAGAGAAACATGGAGAAGTGCATGCTTTAAATTACACAGACACAGAAAGACGTGGATTCGAGGAGAAATGCGAGTTAAAGATATTGACTGCTAAGAAATAGCGGACTTAAATAGGACACATGGCTAGTAGAGATTTAGACTTAGGACAGTTGTAGCCAAAGGAGGTAACATGTCTGAGTGGACACCCATCACAGAGATATAGTGATGGAAACAGATCATGTGCAGGAGCTATATACGTTGTATTGTGCGGCTGTGAAAAATGGTGGCAGCTTTAATCCAGCAGTGGGTTGACCATGGCTGACAATGATTTAAACCAGGTGAAAACTCGATGAGCTGCACATTGCTCTTGCAGATTTGCTTGTTGTAAATGTTACAGTGCAGAAGAGGTAAACCTTAATGTTGTGACCTATTGGCTGTGAAAGCACAGCAAGCCAAATAATAGCATTATCAAGGCACCTACATCAGTTAATCACGCATGTGTCTCTGTCAAATTTCACACTTAACTTCTAATTTAGCAATCTTTGGAAGAACGTAATCAACCAGGCTATTCATTAACTGTGTGTGCAATGAATTACATTTCCAAAAAAATTGCGAAGTTAGTTTTCTCCAACTTCCTATTTCTCTCTCTAAAGTTTACCAGGCTTGTATGGGTCTTTCTCTGCCCCGGCCGCCGTGGGCTGGAATTCCACACAGCTCTCTCATTGACATGCTAATTTCTCTGCTCCAGCACTCCCACCTCTCTCTCTGCCGCACCCCCCCCCCTCTCTATTTAAGGCCTCGACACAGAGGCGTTGTGTCTCTGTGTGTCTATGTGTGTGTGTCTGTGTTATCTCTCTCTGCTTGTGTGTCTGTCTGTGTGTCTCCGTGCCTGTAATTTGTCTCTCTCTAAAATTGAGCAATCTTTGGAAGAACGTAATCAATCAGGTAGGGTGTTGACTGTTGTGTTAGCCGACTCTCTGTGTTGTATTGCATTGTATTTCTAATTTTACTAGGTTTGTTTTCTACCTGATGACGATTGCTTGTGTTGCAATCGAAACGTCATTCTATTATTTAATTTATTTTCTTTCTATGTGACTTTACTGAAAGAACCAAAGATTTAATCACGCATGTTCTGATTTATAAAAAAGTCTCTCAAAGCATTGTTCTCATCCTGCAAAAATAAATGCATTAGGATACTTGATAAAAACAAACACACAATAAGCTGGCGACGTTTCATTTTAAGTAGATTTGAAAAGTAGACACTTTGTGAAAGAGTAGTAAAGCAAGTCATAATGACCTTTCAACCAATCCAGCAAACCCTGAAAGTGTTAGTTTAACATAATCAACAAATTGCAATTCATGTTGTCTACTAATGCTGCATGTTCCATGTTACATAAGCATCTAAACTATGTCTTCAAAGACGGACTGCAGCACAACATGGATAATCTGAAAATCCCTTGATCCATTTGGTTTTCACGACCGCAAACCTATCATGATGGTCCTTCATAATCTGGCATTACTCGGTTGCAAGTTGGGAAAATCGGAAAACTGTGAGGAACCAGACACTGTTCTTCATGACAAATTTACCAAACAAGTGAGATGTGTAGCTATTGTACAAGTAAGCTCAGAAATCAACAATGTGGCACTGTTTTTGGGGTTGCTCATCATCAGCATGTATAACACCTTTCACACACAGCATGGAAAAAGGCTCTTGCCTAAAACTATCAATGTAGAACAAGGTAACATAAAATAAGCAGGTGTCTCTTAAATGCCAAGACATTTGCAATAATTGTTGGGGTTGTTAGTAAAGTTTTTCCATCATTTTAAAAGAACAATTGCAAACCAATGACCTCCCAATGCCACACTCCGAAAATGTTCATCGGACGTTATGTTTGACCAGCTGACTGGCTAGAGACACCCATATTGTAGCTCATAAAAAAAAGACGTTGAGAAATGCTGAAGCAAACCCATGCGATGTGCAGCTATAAAGACAAAAGCTGTTTAAAAAAATACAGAATGACATTTCACCACCAGCCAGTGCGCGTGACTCAACATGGCCATGACAAGCTCAGCCGTGGCCAAATGAACCGCCAACTACTGCTTTAAATCGTTAAGTTAACGGGTGGTGAATGGAGGTGGACGGTGCATCAATTAGGAACAAAATCAAATATTACTAGGACTATGATAATGAACCCTTCTTGCGATTTCATTTCCTGTCGCAATCTAATTCAAGAATATATTTTCTACACTGAAAAACACTAACGTCTGTAGTGGCCGTAGGTTTCATTTGAACCAACTACATTTTTATTTTAGTTTTTCTTCCAATTCCGTTCCAATAACATGTACGTCATCGGAACTAAATTGTAAGAAAAATTGATGACATACACCTACATCATTGGAATAGAAAATGATTGAGAGCATTCATTTTTTTTCAGGAGGGTCTTTTCAGGTGTTTGCAGGAGGGGTGATGTTGGTATGTGTAATCCCATTTGACCAATTTGCAGAATTATTTTTGGTAATGGGATGTTTGGCCAATACTATTTGCAGTGGTTGTATTTCTTGTTATGGGAGAAAACCGAAGAACCCAGAGGAAACCCAATTAGAAATGTAGGAGAAAGTATAAACTCCACAGAGATAAGCACCCAAGCATCGAACCCAGATGCTTCTTGCCATGAGGCACAAGTGTTACCAATGTGCCATCGTTCCAGAATCAAGATGGCAAATTCTTTTTAACAACATTTCCAGAATTGTTTTTGATAATTTACAGTGGAAGGAGAGATGGAGCAGCAGCACCTGTGGGCTTGACGCTGTAAAAGCCCACGGCTTCGCCGTCTTGCCAAAGCAGCTTCGCGTGCTCGGTGGGGGAGTGGCAGAGGAAGGTCCACTCGGCAGCATCCATCTCCCGCGTGCGGTACACGAGGCGATTGAGCGTGTAGAGAACCAAGCGCTCACCCACACTCTGAACCTGCGCACACCGGCCACGGCCAGTAGTGTCCCGTTACAAACCAGGCATCCACAATAACGACCAGTGGGAAGCTCGTTAAATGGTAATCAAGTCAATGCGGTTCTCTGCAAGCTCCCCCGCTCCCACACACAAACGCTCCCTAATAGCAGATGCCTATCCATTGTACGATTTTGAAATTGGCGATTGACACACTGGACAATTGCAAAATGGTAGAGTAGATAAGCCACACAAAGGCTAAATCACGAGGGCAATGTTAAATATTTTTTCATTATTTCAACCAGGTTTGCATAGACTACATATGACTCATGAATAATCGAAATTGTTGGAGCGGTCTAGTAGTTTTCCAGTCAAACATATATACAGATTATTCACGTTTATAACAGTTGTTTCTTGTATGGTTTTTGCTACACCTTTTGTATTTGTTTAGTAACCCAGGTCTCCCTTGAAAAAGAGACGTGTAGTCTCAATTGTTTCTGACAAAGTTGTAAGAATTTCTATCCATTAGAATTTTAGCACTGAATTCCTGCAGTACTGTTAAGTTTGCCAGTTTCTTTGTGCTAGTTTTAAAACATTCAATTTAAAATAGAGAATACCATTGATGATCAAATTTAAAAACATTATTATTTATTGATGACAGAATGAAAAAATGGCTGTCTAATGAACTGTATTTTAGTAGGTACACATGCACTATTTTAATGGATTTTGAGGAATTACCATTAATCAAAACAAACCCATGTGTTCAGTGCAGGGCCAATGGCAATATAAATCACAATACAATGATATATGAGAATAGGTTTTCCACTTTTTTCTGGCAACAAAACAGGTGTTAAGATATTAAAACACCAAACTGAAACCTTTAACAAGGAATCATGTCTGCATTAACCACAATACTTGTGGTCAGAATGCAAATAAAAACACTCTGATAATATATGCATTGTCTATGAAACGGATTGGTCCACACCAGAGACAGCTTTCTTTCTTTAATGCACACATGATTCCTTGTAAAAGGTTTAAGTTTGGTGTTTTTACATCTTAACACCTGTTTTGTTGCCAGAAAAAAGGGGAAAACCTATTCTCATATTTTGGTACTTAAAAAAACAAGCCACCAAAAAGCCAAATTAAAACTCGTAATTTCTCCACATGGCCTATTGAGAACCAACAATTGGCCAGAAAGACCTGAATAAAATGTGTGGCTGTAAAATGAATAAAAACATGCAATTAAAAAACAATTAAAACCAAATTAGCTTTGCTCTCATTCACTAGAACCCTGCCCTGACCTGTATGATACCATTTCGGGTGGGGTCTGCTGTCTTCAGGATCTCTTCCACTGCCCACCACTCATCGTCCAGGTAAAACGCCACAGCTGAGGTCACAGGAGACATGCCCACATATCAATGATATTTCACTTAAGTATCTGCCAGCACCCACGTTAGTTACTAATAGGTGTATTCCTCTGGGTGACCACCATGCCCAACATTGACCAATTATTCTCCATCTAGTTTCCCACCCACTCCCATGACTAAAAGACAGGCTCAAAAAACACCTCGCATTGCGATCAAGAGCATTTGTGTACACACCTATGCACATTGATATAAAGTTACCACGGTGCATCTATCCTTCCAATGAGACAAATATCCACCCATACCCCCTATGATCTGACCGCAAAAGAAGAGAGATCATCTACTCGCCACTTACTGCGGACTCTGGGGAAGAGTGGGAGCTGCTAATCCTTCAAAAAACGATCTTTATGTAAATGCTAAACCTTACATTTTTGTTTGGCTTTCAGAACCCGCAGGTATTGCTAACAGGACATTGCTGCCAAGAAGTTGGGTGTGGCACCCCCACCTAAGAAGAGCACCGCCTGACCAAAGGCCATTATTTACAGAGGCCATGGCACCGAGTCTGTAGTGGCGCATTAATGGATGTGGCATCACCCAGTTCGCTACTCTATGAACTTCCTGCAAGACGACTTTGCGAGCGCTGGCCCAGTATGTCGCTACTCCACCCTGACAATGGGTGGAGTGCACTGCCACCCTGCGTGAGATCCGCTTACCAACGTAGCCATAACACGGGGCACTTGCAAGACTTTTACCGAGCGGCCACCCGAGGCTGCCTCGCTCTTTCGGTTGGGGCCAAAGAGGAAAACGTCTGGTCTGTTGGATGGAATTACTGTGATTTGATATTGCAGTGGAGCGCATCTTCCCTGTGGCTTCCATTGATTGCCTCAAGTTAAAGAACAACATGATTAAATGAATAAGAGAAGAAAAAACTTGCACTAAGGTGCAGAAGTAGGGTTTGCCTCCTGCAGTAAAGAATACCGTTACATATGTTGGAAAGAATACCTCACAATACCATAAAGCGGGACAAAAACTACATATCAATGTATTGTCGTGAGTGGTGTTTTGCTACACAACTGACAAAAACTGATTTTTTATATCCTGGGAAGACTTACAGCTTTCTCCCAAAAGCTACCTCCAAAAGAGGACCCTATGGAGTAGAGAAGGTGAGGTTTGCATAATCCATGTCATCTCATAGGTATGGGAGGGGAATGGGAAGGCAGCTGTAGAGGACTGACTCTGCATGTTCTCATGGTCAACTGGAAGAATACCTTACTCTAACTGATGTGGGCAATGCCTAGGCCGTACACAAAGAGAAAATGCAGCAATGAACACATTAGCCCATCGTTAGCAACACACGGCTGCCTGATGCACAAATGGAAAAGTAAAAACTCTCCAGTGTGCGACTGTGGTCATCCAGAACAGACCATACAACATATAATGACGCAATGCTCAATCCACAAATACAAAGGAGACATCACAGCAGTACACGCCGCTGCTCCGGACGTGGTTATCTGGCTTGACCACCTGTATGTGAAATTGTCGTCGTTGCTCTGTATATCAGCCTTATGAAAGTAGAAGCAGCACACGTTACAAGTGCACACATTTGATAGCAATGGGGCCCTCACCTGTGAATGCATCTTCGGGAGAAAACAAAGCAAGAAGCTTGTGCTGGGAGCTTGCACCATAGAGCAAAACAAAACTAACCGAAGTTGCTGTTATCGGGACCTGGAATAGAGAAACAAAATGTAAAACAACCATAACATATATGCAATTTTCATTTATTAATTTGTATTTGCCCAGAGCAGATGGTTTTGTGTTTTTATACATGGGTTGCAACATGAAATTTGTACCCGCGAAATAGTGAGACAATGCGTGTGATTCTGTGAAGTGTGTTCTCTTGCTCAATTAACGGCTGCATACAGTAAGGATATGATAATAGAGCATGCTCAAGCTACTAGTCATCTTATCTAAGTAGAGATAAAATAACCATTATTAAATGTCATTGATTTTCAGGGTAAAAAAACCTGCTGGTGGGCAAAGGGAAGCACGGCTACTGGCACCACTAAGACAACATCCAATCTGAAAGGGAGAGGTATCTGGGGCAAAAGGTAATGGGCAGGGTTGGCCGAGGTACTCCGGGAACCTGCTCAAAGGTTCCACGATAGGGCATGGCTGGAGGCGGAGCCTAGCCGCGCCTGGGGAGATATAAGCGGGGGCCGACTAGGGCTCGGGGTTCGTGTGTGGATTCTTGGGTCAGGACTGGGTCGCTGCTCGCCGTCATCTCTCTCTGTCGTCCGGCCATATGGAAGATCTCCTGCGGGGTTTCCATCGCCATCCTCGTCACGTCGCCAGCCAGTGGCGTAGTCGAGTGAGAGCGGTGGGACCACGCCGAGTGATCGGCCGTGTGTGTAGCCAGTGGAGACGTGAATATCTAAAGTATTGTACTCAAAGTGAGAAGGATAAGGTTGGCCTGTGTTGTGCCCGTGTAATAAATATAAGTACCGTCTACACGTGTCGCGGAAGTTGCTCATTACATTGGAGTCAGAAGTAGTTAAAAAAATAAACAGAAGAACTTGTGTTAAACAGCGAAGATTCAGTATGTCCAAACATCAGAAGAAACGGAACCCACCTGTGGCGTCTTCCGACGACAAAAATGCGACCCAAGACCTCCTGTCGACCCCGGGAATCATGGTCCCGGATATTGAAACCACGGCAGTGGCGTTGGCTGCGCCGGAGGCGCTAGATCCAGACACAACATCTCCACACCAGCAACCTGAAGACGGCTGGAGGAAGGTATCGGAGCAACTGGACTTGTTGCGGGCGGTTGTCGTGCAGCTGGTGTCGCTCGTCACAGAGACTACGATGGCAGGGCGCTCGACGCTGACATCGCCGGGGAGGAACGACCAGGAGTCCGGTGTCGACGTCCTTGACGGGAGCGTCCGCAAGCGCGACGGCCGCCATTACACGTGGCGAGGAGGACACGCAGCCGGACGCTGCCATTTCGGGCAGCACGGTGGAGGCGCGGAGTCCACCATTTTACGAAGTAAGCGTGATAAGCAAGACGCGGCACCCGCCGGTAGGAACGTGGCGAGTGCAACCGATCGTACTTGCAGATTACCTCAGATTAAATAATTCGTTGCGGCAAGAGGCGATTGGAGCACCTTCACTTGGCGATTTGAAGCGGCTTTCCAATCAGTACATTGGACAGGAGACGCTGATCACTCTGCCGACTATTTTGGACGACGACGCTCTTGCTGTCTTCAGAGTTATTCCTGCTGCTAAAAAGGCTACACTTCAAGGTGCTTATGCTGAGATGGCGGACGTGTACGAGCCGCCTTGGGACATGCACAGGAAATTTCTACAGCGTAGGTGAGGGGAGGCCGAGACGCCTCTCGCCTACCGCAGCGCGCCGTTTACGTTGGCGGGAGCGGCTTACCCTGGGGTGGTCCCGGAGGTCCTCGACTCGCTCGTCATGGAAAGAATGTTGCGACTGGCTAGAGAAATTGGCGTGGTCTTACCTGTGTGTGACGAAGACATAGAGACATCCCGGTGGGCCGCCAGGTGTCTTCAGGCCCACGAGAATCTTCAGCGATGGGCTCAAATGGCGGCATGGACAGGGGACCCCAGCCGAGATGGGGAGCCGAAGGGGTGGTCACCACGGAAAGTCGTGGTGATTCTGCCTGACGATGCGACTTCGGAGGACTTCGCTGCTGCACTCCCGGCGTTGAACCGGAGAAGAGGGGACGCTGCGCGGCGTCAGTGGAGCTGGAGACCGCGTCAGCAGGAGGATTGGGTGGCGCGGAGGCCATCTCTTAGCTGCTTTCGCTGCGGTCAACCGGGACACTTCGTGCGGGGATGCTAAAACCATCCTCGGACACCGACTATGGCTCCGTCAACCGCTGTTCTTCCGACAGCTCAATCACAACCCCAATAGGCGAGTCGAGACGCATCAGACACCCGGCCTATTTTGCAATCTCAGACATCTAATGATTCAGGGTTCATCCACACTCAGCATGACACACACATTGGACACCGGGCAACAAAATCCGGTTACGCATGGGTGGTCTTGCTCCGGGATGCAGTGGAAGAAATTGGCGCGTCGGCAGCTGCAGGTTCCTCGGCGGTATCTGACTCTATTCAAGGTATTGAGGTACGTGTCTTGGTAGACACGGGAGCCTCGGTCACCATTATTTCTGTTATTTTTCAATTGTTGTCGATCTCTGCTCGACAAGTGCGACCTGTCGTTAATGCTTGTGTCGCGGCAAATTGTGGGAGCATGGGCATCATTGGTCAAGTGGATGCCCGCATCGAAATTGGCGAGGTCGCTGTGGTCAGGCCCGTGCTAATCTCAAAAACGCTGGCAGTACCTTGCCTTTTGGGTACCGATTTTCTAAAAAGGATGCCTATTAAAATCCTGGTTGATCAGGGTTATGTGGAAATGCCGCCCGGTCGCAAATTGTTTTTTTTTGCCGTCTTCGCATGTGCGTACGGCAGCGTGGGTCACGGTTCAAGCTCTTGTTCGAGACTCGGTGGAGATCCCGCCGGGCTCACGGATGCTTGTACCATTGCGCTATCGCAAAGAGTTGAGAAATGTTGAACCGACGGCTGGAGTCCTTCTGACACGCGGATTGGTGCTAGTTGACGCACAGACAGTCCTTCGCCCCGACCAAGCTCATTCTTACAAGTGCTTAACCTGGGTCCGGGTACGGTTGCGGTTCAGGTGGACACGGTGTTGGCTCAAGCCATGACCGCATTTTGTGAGAATGATACCACTCCGTCGGAAGGTGTGGTTGGTGCAGTAGAGCAAATTGGATTGTGAACGGGATGTGGGCGGAAGCACTGGTGTCGGGAGAATTCGCATTTGTCTTTGGAGCAGCGAAGTGATTTGCGTTCGCTCCTGTGAGAGTTCTCCGATGTGTTCAGCAAAAGTGAATTTGATATTGGTCGTACCTCGCGTATAGGATGGCCCCTCATGCTTCCACAGGATTTTCACCGTTTTTTCTCATGTATGGAAGGGGAAATGTGCCTCCTGTGGACGCTCAATTGGGTTCGTCTCTGGATAAGGGAAAATCCAAGTTGCCTGAGCAAGTGAAAATTACCCTGGAACGCATTTCGACGGCTCGGGAAGTGGCCAGAATTAACGCCGCCAAAGCACAGGCGACCAATAAGCGCAATGCGGGGAAACGGGATCACGTGCTGCCGTGGTCCATTGGTGACAGGGCATGGTTGCATTACCCAGAAGGTACGTCCCCGAAGCTGCAATAGCCCTGGCAAGGTCAAACGGCCAGTGTGTGCGTATAAGGGTGGGCCGCCGCCGTTGGTTTGCCCATCCATCTCGGCTGAAGCCGTTTGTTCCTCCGAGGGTTGCCTCTCCATCTCCAAAAATTGGCCTGCCGGTGTCTGGTGTCCGGCGAAGCCAGAGATAGTGTGGTCGGAGGGCGTCCGTCAGAAGGATGGTGTCGTGGCGCCCACAGCATCTGAGCCTGTGACCGTGGACGGACTTCGAAACTTCTCCGGAAGCGAGGACGTGCCTGCTGCCGCCGAGCCTACTGCACCTGTGCCGAATGTGTTGCAACCCACTTCTCCGGGGGTTCCGGTGGTGTGCACACCGCCCGAGCAGGAGACAAAGATACACCGAACTCTAAAAAGATACACCGAACCCTAAACGGATTCTGTTTAATGCTAGCCTATCACGAATCTCAGAGAGAATAAGGGTACTCCATTTTGAACTCGATAGCTTAGACAGGACTCTCCTACAATCACATTTAATTTTAACACAAAAAATGTCCCCTTCTGATTGGAACCACGTTGACAACATGACTGTTGCCTCTGCAGATTCACTGTCAGTCAAATGCAAAGCTAACCTGATCGCTAAATTCAACCTCCTATCAAAGAAGAGGCCAGAACCACACATCACAAAACTGGACGTTAACATAATCGTTATTAATCACAGTAACATCCGGATTTCGGACAATCTGAAAACGGTACTGGCTAAAGGACTAAATTTCGCTGTCACCCCTAAACATATACCAGTAGAGGATATTATCTCTCAGGTCGATGTAGCCCTCAAAGGCATAGGACACATCCAAGCAGACGTTGCGAGAGCTGAAATAGCCACTATTCTTAAGAATGCTAAGAAACCCATTAGCAACATTAGCAAAAACGAACGCTCTGAACTCGCGAATTTAAAAAAGAGGGATGATATAGTCATCCTTTCGGCCGACAAGAGCAATGCCACTGTCATTATGGATAAAAACTCATACAACAACAAAATCCAGGACCTACTCAATGATGGGAGTTACTCAAAAATTAAAAGTGAACCAACTAAACGTCCCTCCATAAAACCCACCCACGGCTGCAAGACCTCCCAGATTCCATGGTCTTCCCAAAATCCATAAAGAAGGTACCCCACTACGACCCATCGTGTCCACGATCAACTCCCCTACCTACAAACTAGCCCGCTTTTTATCGGATACTCTGCTTCCCTTTACTGGCAAGACCACCTCAGTGGTACTTAACTCAACCCAACTGGTTTCTATGGTCAAGGACACTGTACTATCTCCTGACGTTATCCTCGGCAGCTTTGATGTAGTCTCGCTGTTCACCAAGGTCCCAGTGCCTGACACCATAACAATAATTGAAGATTTGGTCCAACATGGACTGAACCCTGATGTACCTGCGCTGGTTAGGCACTGCCTCACCAAAACTTACTTAACCTGGAATGGTACCTTCTACAAACAAAATGAGGGTACCCCCTATGGGTTCTCCCTTGTCACCAGTGATAGCCAATGTTTTCATGGAGAAATTTGAATCAGACGCCATCCAGACATCCACCCTTAGTCCTTCCCTGTAGAAGAGATATGTGGATGACACTTTCATCATTTGGCCACATGGCCTCCCAGCTGTGAACCATTTCCTAGACCACATAAATTCCAGACACCCATCCATCAAATTCACCATGGAAGTGGAGAAAGATGGCAAGCTGCCATTCTTGGATCTTCTGTTTGAGAGGACAGATGGCTCTTTGGGACATTCTGTTTACAGGAAGTCCACCCACACAGATTCATACTTGAAGCCTGATTCCCACCACCACCTGGCTCAAAATAATTCTCTCATCAAAACATTATACCATAGGGCTCATTGCATTTCTGACCAACACCACCTGGCCAGTGAATTAAAACATGTACATCTGGCCCTCAAGATGAACGGATACTGTGACCGTACTATCCGCCAAGCTGTTTCTCCCACCATACAGAAACAACCACCTGATACTCCGATCAAAATCATCACATTACCATACATAGCAGGCGTTACCAAAAATATTTCCAAAATTCTAAACAAACACAAGATCCAGGTCCGGTTCAATACAGTACACAAAATACGGGATCTAATCCCATCCGTAAAGGATGTCATTCCTGACTTACAGTACCCTGGTGTTTACAAATTGAGTTGTACCTGTGGTGACTGCTACATCGGGGAGACGAAACGACATATTTCTGACCGAATTCACGAGCACAAATCAGATTTGAAACACGACAGAACTAATTCTTCGGCCGTGGCTGATCATTGTTTCAACACAGCGGATTCTCATGACCTTGTTTTCTCCGATACCAAAGTACTATGCAAACCTCCCGGTTATTACCAAAGATTTGTCCATGAAGCCATCCAGATATACAAACATAGACAACTTCAACCGAGAGGATGGTTTCAAATTGAGCAACTTTTGGAAAGATGTCATCAACCAAGTCAAACGTTAGCTGGCTGATAATTGTACAGCCGTTTCCGTTTCTACCAGGATGGTGCGTGCTCTCGTGCAGCACGCCATCGCTCCCCCCGAACCCCCTGCAGCATAACAAAAGGCGGCTTAACTTAGCCCTCCCCTCCCCTCCCCACCCACGTCCCTTCCTGGCTCCCCCCCCCCCTTAACCTGTATATAAGCTCGGCATGTCCCAGAGCTGTTTACTTGATACAGCGAATTTTGTTGTGTCTATTCCACCTGAAGACGGAAGCTTGTTTTGCCTCCGAAACGTCGTGATTTAATTTAGTTGTTTACTTTTTTATTTATTTTATTTTACCTACGTGACTTTACCGAAAAAAACAAAGAGTATGAATCCTTGCAGTCACAAAAGCTTCAAATCTAGAATTGTGGTTGGTTGTTAGTTGTGTTCTCTTCCCTCTGTCTTGTTCCCTTTGCACTGTTTTTCTCTCTCCTTGTTCCCTACTAGTTAGGTGTTTTCCTGCGGGTTGTTCCGCCTTTTAAGAAAAAACACCGGAGTTCTGCTTTGATATCTCTTTTATTGTCGTACTTTAACCTGTGCATAAATGCACTTACCTGTTTATCTTAATATTAGCCGTGATGGCTATTTTCTTTTATTATGGGGGGGGGGGGGATGTATTGACATGACACCTGCTGGCTGGGAACGGGAAGCACAGGTACGGGCACCGCAAAGACAACATCCGATCTGAAAGGGAGAGGTATCTGGGGCAAAGGTAACAGGCAGGGTTGGCCGAGATGCTCCGGGAACCTGCTCAAAGGTTCCACGATAGGGCGTGGCCGGAGGCGGAGCCTAGCCGCGCCTGGGGAGATATAAGCGGGGGCGGACCCGGGGCTCGGGTTCGCGTGTGGATTCTTGGGTCCGGACTGAGTCGCTGCTCGCCGTCATCTCTCTCCGTCGTCTGGTCACGTGGAAGATCTGCGGGGTTTCCATCGCCATCCTCGTCACACCACCAACCAGCGGCGTAGCCGAGTGAGGGCAGTGGGACCACGCCGAGTGATCGGCCGTGTGTGTAGCCAGGAGAGACGTTAATATCTAAAGTGTTGTACTCAGAGTGAGAAGGATAAGGTTGGCCTGTGTTGTGCCCGTGTAAGAAATAAAAGAAGTACCGTCTACACGTGTCGCGGATGTCACTCATTATACTCTTGTTATGAAGCACCAACGATGAAGAATATGCAAATCTCCAATGCAAGGAATTGTTTCTCCTGTTAGATATACATTTTTATTATTTACCACGGAGCACAGAATTTGTTTCTTAATTTTGTTAGCTTGCATCTCCAGTGCCTAAAATAATGCATTGGAACTTTGGAGCAGGCCCTCAACAGGGCATTAAGTGATATGACCAAACACATTCTTCAGTTTTCAATAACAGCTCAATTCTGGGTCCAATGGTAATGCACTTGTTATTCAATAACATATTCAACATCTGTTTTGTAGAGCAGCAGGATGAGTTCAGGCATGAGTGTTCAGGATTGCAAGTAAAGGGACGATATTGGTACTATTTTGTCCATCTGCAGATGCTAGAAATAAAGAATACATACTTCGGTGCTTAGCTCACGTAATTTTAAGCTCTTAGTTTTATATAACGCACATAACAACCAAGGTCTCCTAAAACTGTGTGCTGCCCAAGGGGCAAAGTTGCATAACCGCAAAATAAAGAAATAAACTATGGCTCTTGTAGTTTTTTTTTCAAACAACAGTGTGAGGCTGGAGGAGTGTGAAACCTTGCAGCCATTGGGAAGCTTGAAGAATTCGGGGTTGTTTGGGTGGCAGTGGAGTAGGTTGTCCAGGTACGATATGGCCGTTCTCTCCAGGACTTCGTGGGACGTGTCCACCAAGAAATCCACCGGGAACTGCATTTCTATAAAAAAAAGCACCCAGATGATCCCACGATGCAGTTGTGTGTGCCTATGTTAGGCAGCCTTGTGCCTTTTCATGCTCTGTACATACAAGCATTCATTGAGTTTTGAGTGAAAAACATTTGATACACCTTGCTAAAAAGCATATTTATTCATTGCTAGTGCATGAAAAAAACATTTTTATGTGCCTAGGAAGGCATATAACATTTTAGTCTGCATTCCTTCAACTCAGCATGCAATTGCTCAAACATTTTGGGTGAGCTACAAAACTGCGCCATACACATTACACAAGAAAGCACATGTGTGCATGATTTGCATGGCACCGTGATCCCATGAAATTACATTTGGTACACATGTTAATTTACTTTGTTAATTTGCTTTGAGTTACGTGGAGCATCTAATTTACTAATGGTAACTCAGTTGGTATGCCTTCTGAGGCAAAGTTAAATTTACATGACTTTTACAATCAGGACAACCACCAGGAGGGCATACCGCTTTTGTCTACCCTTTTGTTGGGCCTATGGTGGCTATTGTGATTGAAAATTGCACTGCCACCTCGCTCAATGTTTTTCCTTTTCTTTTGCTTTCCTTTACATTATAAAAAAAATGTCCTGCAGTGAAAGGGTGGTGTAAGCTGACAGTTGGTATAAATGGAAGGTAGTAATCAGGTGGTATTCCTGGACTGTGGACAAGGCTGGAAAGTGTGTTCTGTTGCATTGCAACAGTGATCTGGCCCAGGTCACTGGCACCTGCCTGAGCACTGACACAAATGGTCTCGTTTTAAAAACAATTAAACTGAATGGGCCCTCACCGGACTGACACAAATGGTCTAGTTTTAAAAACAATTAAACTGAATGGGCCCTCACCTGGCCTGAAATAAACTACATGAATACATTAATTAATGGTTTATATTATATTATTGGTTCTTTCGGTAAAGTCACGTAGAAGGGAAACAATAAAAGAAAAAATATAAAACAAAAAAATTCTCACGACGTTTCGACTGCAACACAAGCAATCATCATCAGGTGTGAAAACCACAGCAATAAACATTTGAAAAAAGTGGCGGTTTTTTAACGTTAGCACCACGGAGAACGATTTGGCAGTTATTCATATGGACGAGCCCATCTATGCTTGGAAAAGAGAGGGGAGACGAAAATAATGGATGCGGTCTGAAAGCCACCGTAAGCGTGAACAATCAATTAAGACCCGAAATGGTTTATCAAATCCTTCCAGTGATTGCTAAGCCAGAATCCATCGTCTCGGTTGAAATTTTCTGTGTTTGTATATGTGGATAGCCTCATGAACGAATCTCTCATGGTAGCCAGATGGCTTGCAGAGAACCTTTGTCTTGGAGAAGTCAACGTGACTTTACCGAAAGAACCAAGAATATGAATCCCTGCAGTCACGAAAGCTTCAAATCAAGGTTTATATTACATTAATGTTACTAAGTTTTCCCATTTTTACTATTCGCTGAAAAGTTTGTTATTAATAATCCTCTATAGAAATAAAGGCTGAATTAAGAGCTATTTTTCCAAATGACTGAATCTCTGCACGCCTGATTGGTTTGTCAACTGTAATCAGGATTCAGCATAGCATGCAGGCTGGACAGTGGCTGCAGTCAGCACACAAGTAAAACGCACAGAAGACCATTTACAATGCTCAATACCCGCGTAATATACTTTAAAATCTGAACCAAATTACAACTCATACCGGTTTTTTTCCAACCTTGCCATGTATAATTTTTTACTTTAACGGAGTTATAGGACATACATTTATAACAGTGAGAAGTTGTAGACACAGGAGGTGGCTACTGGCAGGAATTCCTTTACAGTACTCACAGCCATTACATTTAACAGTAAAATACCATACATGCCACACAGTACAGTACACATATACTGCATATGCCGATTTCCATATTTAAATTAAACCATATTATTAACAGAGTAGACCACAACTGCAATGCTGACAGCTTCAAGTTAATATGATCAGGCAACTTAACAAAACAATATTTTAAACACAATAAAATTACACCTATACATGGTTTTTTTGAGCACAAGTACATTGTGGAAGTTTCAACCATTATAATTATCACCTTAATGGGAATCAATTTTTTTTCAATCAACTAGTTTACACTCCAGTGAATGAACAATCAGGTCGGTGTGTGCCATCCATCCAATGCATGGACAGCTTATGACCATAAACCGTTCCACCTATCATGGGTACAAGGATATCCCCTGCACACTCATAGCAGCTGCCGTTTTGTTCTGCTATGTGTGAATAAGAGAGCTCCAACTCTCTTTCTCTACTCGGCCTAGCGTTCATAATCCATAATGCACCACCCTGGGCAATTTGGAAGCGAATACTGAACACAGACGACTGCCATGCCAGAGCACATCTACATCACCTCACTGAGCCACGGCTTACATAACTGGAGATAGGATTTGCATATATCAGTATACAACCTAAAACGCTACTGACCGAAACATGTGAATTATAACATGTACGTCACAACCACAAGTTTATCGTAATTTATATACTATGCAATTACTATATGCAGAGAAACATTTCAAAAGCTGAAGGTAGTCACAGCATGTGGTGGCTGAAATTTACATAAGCAACAGACTTGCCTTGCGGCAAATTTGGCAACTGTTGTGCATCAAATGCATTCCATGTAATATTTCAATTAATCTCTGCTGTTTTGCTTACTTTGTATTTAAGTCGCTCATTGTGGAGTTCAATTGTATTTTTGGGTTTCGAGGCCAACCGACCATATGAACAAGCTGTATTTAGAAAAGGGTTTTCTACCATGGATAGCATATGCAGTATACCGTAGTACAGTATATAAATATACAGTCGATATAAATACCAAATAGTATTATGCCTAGATTTTGTTGACATTTGATTAAGTGTCAATTTCTGTACTATTTCAAGGGCTTGACAAAATACATCACTAAAGCTGAAATAAATTATATAAAACAATCAAAACCATTTATAAAAAATAACATCTACACTCAGTTTACATGATTTAATAGTGATTATGACAACCAATGGCAATTAATAACAGGGCATAATTGAGTAACTGTACTTAACAAAGGCAACAAATTTGGGCTAGAGATATACGAGCCAAACAAAAGTCATACACGAGTTGAGTTCAGGATATGTACATTTACCTGTGGCTCAAGATCATCATGATGAAGAGGCAAACTAGCGGGATGTATAGTTTTTTAGAATGTGATAATGAAAAGCAAATACCAATCAAGATAAAATAAACATTTTCACTCAGCGCACGTTAACTTGCAAACAACGAAAACGGGGCTCACAAAATGAATGAACGATTAAAAGTACGCAAGGACAGAAAGATAACACGCACGGGTGGGATCAGGGAACAAACACAATTTCGTGATCTCATGCTTGTGTAAACAAAGTGGGGCTAAGGGCATGCCATGAGGATAACGCCACCGGCGACGGAGTGATGATGAGATCTGATATTTCTCCATCCGTGGCGCGCGATGGGGAATAGGTTCGGGAGCCGAATGCCAACCAAATGTCGATGTCTGCTCGCTACCACGAGAGAGAGAGAGATTGCTATTCCTCCACCCTTCACGGTGCTCACGACTAAAAGTGTTTTTACTGTCACAGGACGGGTCCATAAGATGTGCCCCCCCCCCCCCCATGTGGAGGAGCGAGATGGATTGTGGTGAGGGGGATGGCGTGACAACGTGTGTGTGTAGGCCTTCAGCCTGATGATGTTCTCACGTCGACTGCGCATGCTTCACGCATTAAAATTAACCACAATATCGAGAAAGACAAAGCCCCCGTATACCACAGTACAGAAGTGAAGTACCCCAGTACACTACATTGAACACATGGAACTCAATTAAAAACCTAACACTTAATCAAACTTAAACGTTGGGTAATCCCGACTCGCCGTTATTGAAACAACAACTTTATGATTTTGGAACTACATACTTACGGCCAGTTTACATTCGTTAATTTCCATAACTTTGCACATCGTTGGAGTAACTTCTCTTGAAACAGTCAATTAACACCATTAATAAAAAAAACCTGAATTCCACTTGAATTTAAAACCATACACCTGCCCATCAATGTAAACACACCCGTGGACGATTTGAAATTCAACTTAAACATCGCATTTATCATTCAAATTTTGTACACACCTTGCAAGACACATCTTTAAACAAGTAGAACATGTACGTCGACTTTTATTCGGCTTTCTTTAAGACCCATAAACTCGACAAAAAACGCAACACCGTTTACAAAATAATCACGTAACCAATGCAACAACGCTATGGCAAGAGGGCCACGGCCACAATACGGGAGAAATACTGCAATTAAAAAATAAAGATACACGCATATATATTTTTTTTTAAAATGTCTCACCACACACGCCGGGTACGTCCACGCTTTGCTCCCCTGTGGCTCGCTATTTTGTATTAAAATTCCGCCTCCACATCAGTGGCTCTGAATGCGTTCACGTTGACACAGCCACCCGGGGGAGATCGCCTCTCGTCTCTGGTGGGGTTGGCGGTGGCCCCCAACGCCGGTATCGGCTTACGGGGGTGCGCGGGCGGGGGGGGGCGGGGAGTGTTACGTACGTGCGTGATGACGTTTACGATCCAAAGTCGGCGTGCGTCGTGGCGTCACCGGCTCGGATTTGGCAGACGTGCGTGCGCGATGAGGTCATAGGTTTTACCCACTTTCCCCCCCGCGCGATGATGTCACCGGCGCGTAATTCGCGTACGGGTTTGCGTGATGACGTTCCCTCGCCTGGAACGGGTCGCGTGCGTGCGCGATGGCGTCACTGATCTTCGCCAAACCCCGGCGTCCGTGCCCCCCCCCAACGCGTGCGTGATGACATCAGCAATCCGGCGGCAATACGATCCTTGGGGGAGTGGGGGTGGGGCGGGTTTGTGCGTGATGACGACATTCTCAGCCGCAACGCGTGATGTACCTGCTCATGCTCGCCCCACTCTCCGCATGACGTCATGTTATCGAAGCGCGGGTTTTTACGTCACCGGGCGCGATGACGTGCGACGCGGATCATACCGAGGCGCCGGGTTGGTATAACGAGCGAGAGATCTCTCACGCGCAGACGCACAGGCGATAGATAAAGAAAGCACACGCACACAGAGACACTCATTCGTCTCTTTGCTCAGTGTGCGTGCCTTCGTCGTCTTCTTCTTCTTGTTGTAAACAGCTTGTTCGGTAACGCGCACTGACAGTACCGACACGCCGGGTGTTGTTGTGGGTGGCCTGTCCACCACATCATCGCATGTTGGCAATTGAGGCTTTAGCCCAGGAAGAGGTGGCTATAGAAGAGACACAAGATACAGAGAGGAGCTGAGCTCGGCTCTGTGTGTCCCCCACCACCCCCCCGCCGCACACGAAGGATCTGACTTCTTGTTCCATCGGTGCTGGCTTCACCATGGCTCCACGTCCGAACAGGAGTCGCACCGTTGTTGTAACAGGTTGGTGTTGCTTGTGTTCCTGTTGCTGCTATTCTCATTCTTGCTGCTACCATTGTATTCTTGCGTATAATGGCAAGACGTTCAGGAGATAAATGGGTCGAGGTGTGCTTGCCACGACGAAGCCGGCTTCATGGAGAGAGGGGAGTTTGTGTGATTTTGCTGTTTCTCCGTTGAAGGAGCGCGGACGAGTGGTTTACTATATGCGCCGTAAGAGATGAATGGCCACAATCGCGCCGCGGCTTGTCATTCATTTCCCGTTCGTGAATGTATGTGTCGATGTTCTGATGCGGCTGATGGTGTCCCCCAGTCGGTGCCTTCGAGGAGGAATGTCAAAGCCGGAGGTGGGTGGTGGGTGGGTGGTGTGGGTTGTTCCACTGTTCGCCAGCGTGCGCTGAGGTCCTCGGATGGTGGCAGAGCGACCCCAGAAGGGGAATCGAAACTTGAGTCGGGGGCGAGGTACATTGTTGAGGTCTTGGTTTATGGGTAAGAACACGCGTAAACTCCCGTGCTGTGTTCATGTCTCTGTGGATGTTTGGTGACAGAATGTTTGGCAGAACACATCTTGTTTTTTTTTATAAATGTGGGGCTTGAAGGTCATGCTTCCTCGCCATAACAACCCCTATATATTTCTAGTGGGGTCAGAGGGCACAGGGCTCTACCACAGCAGGACACCGCCCAGGGTGGTATCTGCTGCGTGATTGTTCAGGTGGAGAGCGCTTGTGGTGGTTTTGGATGAATTTGGTCGGGATCTTCGGCGACGGAAATATGCCTCCAATAAAGTTAGATCAGCTGTCAGAGTATCTGCAGCGTTCGCGAGGTTTGTTGCCCCAGTGCATTAAGGACTGTCATTTGTATATACTGCATGAACTTGCAAGATTGTCAGGTCACTTGAATGGTTATTACGGTGCTCGAGAGAGGCTATTGTTGATATTTCTGTTGCGGTTATGTTTACCAGCGAGGTGAACCCTAAACGTACAGTTGCTGAGCGTCATGTCAATTAGGTGTACCGTATAGAACGTCAGCAGGCCATGACGCCCATTGTCATAGGCAGCAGAGAGGTCAATCATTGCTGTGCCAGTTTTCTGTTGACGCTGGAAACCGGCTTCTCGGAGGGTGGTGAAGGCAATTCTTTGTTCGCAGCAGATGTGGCCAGTTTGAAAGCCGGATCGTTTGGAGAAGCAATGGGGGAAAGTATTGAATGCATGGCACGTTCCATCAGCTTGGAGGGATTGTGCCTGCCCTGTGTGTGGCGATTAATAGGATTGCAAGCCATTGTTGCCCATATAGTCCAGTGTTCTTTAGGAACCCAGGACGCAGACCATCATATCCCGGTGCCTTGTACTTTGTGGCCCTGAGGGTCACTTAAGCGACAGTGTATTGTCTTGTTAGTGAAATTAAGGTGATGGTGAGTTGCTTCCAGACAGCTTCTTTGGTGAGTTTGTCCATATATGCATTTGAGCACGACAGCATGTAGGAAGCCACATGATTTGCTGTGTTTTTTTAAAATGTATTTCTGTGCTCTGTTGGTTTTGAGACAACTAGGTTCCAGAGGAGCTGCCAGGCTTCATTGCTGGTGGAGTGAGTTAAATCCAAGTCTGCAGTGACGTCTTCCCAATGTTTTGTTTGTGCAGAGTTGAGGGACCCAGCATTGTGGTGCCCTTATGGTCACCAGTTCTGATTATCTATTTTAAGAGTACTGTTCTTGGTTTCCAACATGGTATATAGCTTTCCTGATACCCTGTCGGGATGTAGTTTTTGTAGCAGTTAGCCTCCCAAATGTTCCAACGCGCCTGTGGTTTTGAGGCCGATGCAATGTTTTAGAATTGGATAATCCATTTTTTACTTGGACCCCAGACTCCCACACCAGCACACTTTTCAAAAATATTTACAAACAACAACCACACTCAAAAAATTACATTTGGACGAAAACACAAAGAAAAACCAGGCAATTGCAATGCAGAAACTTCAGTCGGTAGAGTATAACATGCACCACAGTCATGAGTGTCCGAGGGTGAATAACGATGATGCAGGCAAGTTTAGCACTTTTACACTCCATTCAAAAATGGAAAAAAAAATCACAGTTCCGAGTGCTAAATTACCAGCAACAAGGACTCAGCTCCAGTTGATCAAACCTTGCTGCATTGGCACAGACATTTCTTTAAGGGGAGCGAAAAACCCAGCAACGGCAGCACGACCAACGAGGAGTGACCGAAATGTATTCTTGGAACTTTGAGTTCCAGATCAGATGATCACATCCTAGCCCTGACTCTGTTCCAATCTCACCCTAAACCAGTTCTCACACCTCAAGGGAAAAATACATGGATGAGGTATCCCTTGAGAAAATGCTGGAGGAAAAAATATCTTTGTCATTGATTAGGTACTGGTGAAACGTCATACTCAGATAGTAAATGTTGTGGATTGCTCTCCAACACACCCGTGTGCTGTACTAGTAACAAATTGGCATGTTCTGTTTGTGACAAACCTTAATAATCAGTTGTGTCGGGTGGTGGCAGGTTTAACGACACATTTATATTAGCGCGATCTAACCCAAAAATCCTCTATTATGGATGATTAGTTACAGTTAATCTAACAGTCACCACTGAGTAGTAAAACCATGACCCACTCCTGTGATATCCTATAGCACCAAGATAACTCGTAACATGAAAGATATTTAGAGACTTCCAGCTAATTCCCTAATACGTTACAACATGGTAATCTGTCCCACAAAGATAACTGGTAACAATAAATGTTTTCACATACTTCCCGATATCTACCAGGTTACTACTTGGAAACTTCACACACATATTAATGTTTGATATTCGATCTAATTTAAATTCAGCACATTTTTTATTGAACATGTGCATTACCTGTTGATTAAATGTGCCTGGCTTATCAAACATTTTCAATAGTTGAAAATAATGTATCAGTTATGTTAATATGTGCAGCAGACGTAATGTTTTAGATAATGAAATACGTAAAATGTTATTTAATGTCAATAATTTAGGACTTTTTAAAATGATTGTTCAATATTTTGTCGTTCAACATTATAAAGAATTGAACATGGCAACAAATATCGTGCCATAGACTAGCCTGCCGCAACTATGTTTTCATTTAGAGATTCAGTATTGCTTGCTTATAGCATAGCAGCAGTTCATAAGTTACCCAGATAATGGAATGCTTCACCATCCACATAATGATTAACTGTACACGTATACACTTAAACTCGTGTTTATGAGCAGATGTGAGCAATGTACAATGAAAAATTGCATTCTAGTTGCATAGCACTTCTAGCACTTTGGAGTCGTGAATTAAATATGACGTTACATGGGCCACAGTTCCAATTGCTTTAATGTTAATGGTGATAACTGCCATTGCAAACATTGCACGTGTTTAATACAATGGTCAAAAATTATTGTATACAGTACCATGAATGAAAACTCTGTCTTCATTGAGTCCACATGATTTCTGATGATTCCAGACCAGTGGGACATATCCCAGTGAGGCAGTTGCAAACTTTGGCGAATTTCCTAAATACTCGCACATCTGTCCACCCAGCAGTATAAATGGGTACACCACAATTAGTCGATCGAAGGACAGCTTGTGGTGGGGTAAAGTGGGGGTATTATTACATTTTTTAAAGATATCTGACTCGTGTGAAAGAGTAGTGGTGTGAGCAAGAAAGTGCAGGGCTGCACCTTTACCAAGAACATCTAGAACCAGCCACAGTTGCAGTTTAATATTTAGCAAGGCTCTGGTCCTCAGGAGTATCCATCAAACTTCATAAAAGGAGTGTCACCTCGTCTGGGTTCTTTCGGTAAAGTCACGTAGTTTGCATTAGAAGAAGTTACAGCAGCAGAGGTTAGTGTAAATGCGGTTGGTATTACTTTAGAGACTCGATTAGCTGAGCCTTCTTTTCCCGGAGTTTGTTGAAGGATCTCAAGGTTATGTGGAATCCCTCAACAAACTCCGGGATAAGAAGGCTCAGCTAATCGAGTCTCTAAGGTAATACCAACCGCATTTACACTAACCTCTGCTGCTGTAACTTCTTCTAATGCAAACTACGTGACTTTACCAAAAGAACCCAGAAGATGAATCCCTGCAGTCACGAAAGCTTTAAATCGAAAGGAGTGTCACCTGTTTGTGTTTGGGTGGCAGAAATTAATTTGTACCAAGATCTGGTGGTATTGTGAACTTTATTACTGTAAAGTGCAGTTTTTATAGACCAGGGCTGACTGATATGTCCAGGTTTGGTCTGTGGGAAAGGTGGCGACTGTAATAATAAAGTTGTTTAGTATTGTCAAATAACCTCCATGACTGACAGAGTGTAGGGATGACTTACTTGACATCTGTGATAAAGAGCTTCATAACTCATCGGATTGTTCCAGTCTAAATAAAGATTTTGACTTCAGCAAATGGATTGACTCAGGGCTGTAAATTATTATTATTATAACCCGGTGTGAGTCCATTTGGTTGAGGTGGCTTCAGAAACCTGAAATCCAACATTTCCATCACTCAGGTATGACAAACTGTAAAATGTGTAATAAAGAACAGAAACATTTTTGCTGATGTCATAAGGAGCTCTCCTCAAACCATTTTCACGTTTTTTTACTTTTGCGTAAAACTATACAGTAGATTTTCACTCATTCACTTGATAAATTTACGCACAGTTGTACATTGGTCACGTAATAGTTGGATTAAACTGTAGAACACGTGCTCTCTCGAGAGGCGCAAGTGTGTGTTTTCTATTTAAACGGTAGGCAATCCATTGCGCTTTTAATGGGGATCTGACACTTAGAGCATGGAACATGTTAAGCAGACACTAACGGAGTGAGGGAGTGCAGTGGTGGAGTCCATGCTCAAGTCCATGTGTTCATGCTTGTGTTACAGGGTTCGGTCCATTTCGAGAGCACAATGTAAATGCGAGTTGGGTGGCTGTGCAGGTATGTTTTTTAACTGCTCTTTCATATGTATGTATGTATGTTGAACTTATTTCGCACCGTGCATAGCCAACCGTGCTAATCTGAGGAGTGGGGAAGGACAACAAATTAAACACACAAAAAAACGATATATATCACTATTGCGGGATTGTGAAACAAATGGTGCAGTGTGCTACGAACCCAGTCTCCTGAGTTTCGTTCCCGGCTATGCCAAACATCACTGGTGAACGATATCTGAACGGCCCAGGACCGGCGCGCCACCCCTATTTACTAACCCGCTCTGACCAGCATAGTCAATGGTCGAACAACCCCCTTGAACGACACTGTGTGTGGAGGCTTCATCCGGCAGTGGATAGACAAATGCCCATACATTATATTTTTAATTCGTTATTTCAGAGTTACGTTATCAAGTACTATTTGACAAAAAAAAAAAGGTTGCCAACCTGACCAGCGTCACCTGTGTTTGCATCTGAACCACGCTTACCGGTAAAATTAAACATGATTTCCATTAAATTATTTTCACAAGTTACGACAAGCAAAATACACCCTCTGACGAAAACCACATGGACCACTGCAAGACAAAGATAAGACATAGATAAGACATAGGTCACTTACATGTGGTACAGGCACCATAGTCCACATATCTATGCAATGCAGAAACTGAAAAGCAAAGTCTTCATCTGTGCTCCCTGTGTTATGGTTACACAGGAGCTGGAGAAGCTGGGTATGGGTGAGGACGTTGACCTGAAAGTGTTTGAGATCCCTGTGGAGTACCAGAAGGTGCAAGAGCTTGTGCCATCTATATGGAAGCTGCACAACCCCCAGGTATGTTTTTCTACACTGTTGTACTGTTCACTTTCACAATTTCAAAACAATGCCAACTCATCTACTTGCCCACCGGGGATGTCATTTGTCTCCGAAGGACATTTGCAAATTAATTTGCAATTATAACTGAAAGCACTATGTTTGATTTCGAATAGTGTGTCTTGGCTATGGCATTAGAGGCATAATGTTTTGCCAACCGTTGGACAGTGGGAGTTCTCTCTGCCAATGTTAGTGATCTGCGCTGTCTGCTCTTGCAGTTGACTTTATCAGTCATCTAACAAAGTTAATCTTACTCTCGAACATTTTCCAGGTGTTTTCGTATTCTAGGGAGATGTGATTCATAGCAGTGGAATTCTTCCTTTTGGGGAAACTGTTCTGATGGCTGAAGTGCATTCTTAAAAGTTAGTACGTAATAAAAGTTACCATTGAACCACTGCCTCTTTAGATGCCTAATTGCTGTAATTTCATAGCACATTTGAGTGCCTCGTATACTGTAAATGCAGATAACCCAATTAATCATTCAGCAAAATAAGTATTTTTTTCCCATCTGGCCAGTGTATGTTCATTGCATGTTTGAAAGATTCTGTGTCACAGTTGACGGGCAAAATCAGTAATTTCTTTAAACATTTTAACTGCTGATTAAGAAAATCTGTACCTAGGATAGAGGTCTTTACACACATGAGTTTATTTTACTCGTATAATGTTATTTGTACTGTATTCGCTTTCATCCACGAAAGACCAAATCTTGGGCAGTGCTAAACTTCTATTAAAGCTGTGAAAGTTGTTCACTGTGTAAATGCTACTTTTGCTTGTGGTTTGTCCAAACTCTGCTGCTACTCTACTTCCTTCCTCCAAAACACAACTCAACACCGACCACCTCCGCAGTTGATGGTTCACGTGGGGGTGTCGGGGGTGGCGCAAGCCGTCACACTAGAGCAGTGTGGGAAGAACGTGGGCTATGTGGTGCTGGACAATGCGCGCTGCTGCCCGGGCAGCCACTGCTGCGTGGAGGGAGGGCCAGAATGCCTCCATTCCAGGGTGAACATGGAGGCCGTGCGGGACAAGGTGCGCGCTCAGGGGCTCGAGCTGCAGCTTGCCGTGTCGGATGACGCAGGCAGGTAAGACACGGCCCGGTTGGTGGGCAAGGGTCGCAAAGGGTTTGTGCTCATCAGTAGGTGATGGGTCTGCAGACATCGCCTGATCAAATGTGGAATAGCTTTGCGATTTTGCAATACCTTATCCTCCATTTCATAAGATGCTCTGTAATGTAAGAAGCACCTAAATACTTTGTCTGCCATAAACAAAGTTATACAAATATGGTTACACACAGTGCTTTAAAATACAATGGAAAAAAGTGCCTATAATCCAGAGAATACAGTAGGAGGAGTAATAATACCTTTCATCCAGGAAAACCTCACTAGGTTTTGAGATTTATTTAGACGGGTTCTGCATTGAGATGTTGGGCAAATCCCATTAATATGTGCTTGCCATGTGGTAAGAAATCGGAGTATCTGGAGAAAACCCAAACACATAAGAGGGTAGCACTAAAACCTTCACAAGATAAATTCAAGAGTATATTGATATATTGCCATATTCTGGCTACCTCACAGCCAGAGCATACATTGCCCATATAATTACTAACCAAGGTCGAACCCCTGCTTATCTTCTGAGATCCACTGACATTGGGCACATTCAGGATAATTTTATCCCAAGTCACATTTTGAGACTTGGGTTCAGATGCCATTGCTTTGTTTAGCTGGTCTGTTTGAAAGCATTATGTGCAAAGTCCTTGACAACACAGCATAGCTCTACTTTTGTTTTCTATCCTGTTAAAATATATTTGTGGGATCAGTATACATTACTATAGAAAATGCCAGAATGTTGCTTTGTTGTCTTCTTTGTGCGAGTTTTGATGCAAGGTCAGTAATTCTCAATTTTAATCCATAATAAAGGTTTTTTGCCTACGTGTTAAACTCACGTTTACAATGTTGTGTTCATTATGAAATAATGCGTCGTTGAATGTATCGCATAATTCTGAGTGTCCATAATCAGTTGTGATTAGGCCAGGTCCTGTGCCACAGCTGTTATAAGGGTGATGTCACATTTTTTCATTCCTCGAAATGCATAAGTGGCTCTCAGAATGTGTGCAGCACACACATATAAAATAAAGTCAGTAATTTCTTTGCTCAACTGAGCATTCAAAAAGCCTCCAAATCTTCATCAGTTATTTCCCTCTGTTGTGGGTTTCATTCCCTTGTTTCCAGCATGCAGGCGCAGCAACTAAAAATATCCTGTACCATTCCATATCTAGGGCAGCTCGGTGGCTTAGTTGTTCGCACACTCCCCATTGAGCCAGTTTGCACGGCGTTGAGAGTTCAATCATTGGTGTCGTCAAGAAAATTAGGTATAAAATTATCAACGCGCGATCTCTGCTGAAAAATGTACGTTGATGATTATTTTTTTTATTTAGTTTTCATGCAGAGGTCAATGTGTACCCTGGTCCTTGCCCAAATGGATTATTACTTGCAAGAAAATAAATATGCATTGACTCGACAATGTTCAATCTTTCTGGAGAATAACATTGTATTTATAAAGGATCTAAATGTAAATGTGTCCCAAGATGCTGTACAAAAACAGGGGCAACATGCACAATATATAACATCCATGTGCTCCCACCAGTTCAGCAGACTGATGAATACATCTGCACTGAGGCAGTGTGGAAGACATTACCTGTGTGCACCTGCTTGTTTTGCTTGCAGGTACCTGTGCGACTACACCTACTACTATTCGCTGTTCCTGAGCCATGGCAAGGCGACGTTTGTGCATGTACCCCCACTGGACAAGCCATATAGTGCTGAATTGCTGGGCCACGCTCTTAAGCTAATCGTGCAGGCCATGCTGGAGCAGTTGGATGATGTGCAGGAAAGCTGCCTTTAGCACGAGCACCACATTCCCATTTAATCACCTGCTTCTGAAAGCCTGCGTGTAAGACTTGAGAATCATGCCCATGCAACTTTGCTCTGTACACTCTGCCACTTTCGATCTGCAAAAGCAGGTTGAGCAATTGGGGCACCTGTTCTTGTTTGCAAATACATGTTGTATAGCTGATTTGGTCAATGCAATTATTTTTCAGCAGCAGTAAATGGAACCAGGCCATTTAGTGCGGAGCAGGGCAATAATTTGATGTACCCTTATCTGTACTGACATGTCATTTGCATTGATTTTCTGTCAGCCTCATTGGAAAGTGTTTATGTTCCTAAACAGACTTTGTTGATTTGGTTAGAATGATCAACCTAATACATAACTGCGGAGCTGGTGCAAAACTGCAACTGAACTATCTTAATGTTTAAATCAAAGGTCTGCTTATCGATGAGCCATTAAACAATACCACAGCCTTTAACTCCTTTGCAACCTACATCAAAATGGGGCATTTAGCGAGCTACAGTTTTGTCAATATTTTTGCAGCAATGGCTTATTTGATTAATAGTAACCCTTGGCTTACAACTTTCATGACTGCAGGAATTCATATTCTTGGTTCTTTCGGTAAAGTTCCGTAGCTAGAAAAAAAAAATTGAAAATAAAAGCAAAAACTCACGACGTTTTGATCGCAACAACACAAGCGGTCTTCATCAGGTGGAGAGAAAAGAGGGAGCAAGCCTCCAAATGCAACTGCTTTTAGGGTTTCCAAAGTGAGTGAGTGGGGGACGAAAGCTGGGAGGATGTGTGTAGCGAGGTGCAATGTCCCCCCCCCCACGTGCCCCCTCAATGATCCGATCGAAATCCCTAATTTCGATCGGATCATTGGGGTTTATTAGTAATAAATCGGTATTTTGCGACCCCCACTGCCACTGTGTAGCATATTACGTGCCAGGGACTCTATGAGATGATAGGACAATAGTCTGAGTCCATAATTGGCAAAAGTAACGGCAAAGCAGTTTAAGCGACTCGCATAATTGTGCGCAGTTACGTATACAGTACACGACTTCCCTGAAGGCATCAACACCTTCAGCGAGCGCGATGCCAATCACACAACGCGGTTCGAATTCGACCCTCGATCGATGGCCTCGCCATCGCCACACACGCGTCGAATAACAAGCAAGGAACAAGTCCTTACTTATTACTAACAACTATCATTTTTAATTGCTAGAGGGGTTGCCCCCCCCCACCTGAAAATCCTGGCTCCGCATTGTCTCTTCCCCTATCTCTACTCCCTTCCTCCCCCCATTGTCTACTCCTACATTAGCATTGGCTGACCTATGCCACACATCTCTCCTCCCAACTCCCCATTTGTCTACTCCTACATTGCCACTGGCTGATTGGCTGCCCCGCCCATGCTGGTTGTGCAGCCCAGCTCTCCTCCTCCCAGCTCTCGTCCCCTGCTTACTCACTTTGGAAACCCTTATAAGGAGTTGCATTTGGAGGCTTGCCCCCTCTTTTCTCTCCGCCTGATGAAGACCGCTTGTGTTGCGATCGAAACGTCGTGGGTTTTTGCTTTATTTTCTATTCATAATTTTTAATGTTTTATTTTCTATCAACGTGACTTTACCAAAAGAACCAAGAATATAATAGTAACTTGTTCTCACTGTAAACTTTTAAATTAACACATTCCTGCGGAGGGAGCTCGTAGGAACGTTGGGTTGCTCGGTCAATGGCCAGGGTCAACGGCGGCGTGGTGTATTCCGCACATATGCCCGACTGTGAGGGCAGGCACAAGCCGGCGTGAGTAGGTGAAACGTTGAGTTTTATAAGGGCACCACGGGGTGACCAGCCCCTCCCCACCCAGCCCAGCCCACCCCTCCCATCCCCCACCCAGCCCCACCCTCCCCACCCCTCACCCAGCCCCACCCTCTCCCCACCCAGCCCCTTCCCACCCTCCCCTACCCACCCGGCCCCTCCCAACCCTCCCCTCTCCACCCAGCCCCACCCCTCCCATTTTATCCGGGTGTCCAGATACACGTGGACAGACATCCACAGACATACACAATTAATCCCTTGCCTCCTGTGAATTAATCCCGGTTGGGCTTCCAGTCCACTACCCAGTACCAGCCCCAGCCCCTCCCCACCCTGCCCCACCCCTCCCACGTGGACAGACATCCACAGACATACACAATTAATCCCCTGCCTTGTGAATTAATCCCGGTTGGGCTTCCAGTCCACAACGTTTCCTACCAGTATAATATTTATCATTCTTTCAACAGCATTCCCTGCCTCAATTTTAATTGAAAGGAAAATATAGGCTTTAGGTAACTTATTTTCAGATGGCACAGTAATTGTATTGTTTCAATAAACTTACTTTAAACATGTGATTACTAAAAAAATATTTTGGAAACTGAATACTTTTGGAAACTCAATGCCACAATGGAAATGTGTATGGTTAAAACTAAATGTTTTGATCTGTACAGAAAGATTTGTATCTTTTTGTACAGAGTATAGTAAATTTACAATCGACATCAAAATGCAATATTTCAATGGATAGTTGTATAACACTATACTTTAAAATTGTGAATTAAATAGCCAAATGTTATGAAAATGAAGATATTTTTCTCCAAGGCCAAAGAGTAACGTACATGTATTTAATTGTGCACACAATTGAATTATGCATGTGTTTACATATCTTCGTGGCCATAGTAAAGTGCATCTGCTTGCACATGCATACAAATGATACCACATGCTACATCTGAGCACCTGCATGATTAAAATTGCTTCTTAAGCAGTTGAGGGATGTAAATGAGAATTAGCTGTTCCATTGGACTCCTTGCAGTGGAAACAGGTTGATTTCTTGGGTGTCCAAATACAAAACAGCTGAATAAACAAAGACTAAACACCTCAAATACATTATCTAGGAAAACTTAGATTTTGCAAGTATTGTAATTACATTTTGTCACTGAAGCGCAATCGTTCACCTTAAAATGAGTATTGGCAACAAAGTGTAAACATTTCATAATGAGCAATGACAATTTATTTAAAATGTACACTTGAGACATAAAAGATAATTGATTAGTCCAAATTCCAACATAAATGGACTGCATGCTTAAAGCCTAAATCATACTTATATTTTACAAACCGATGTCTAGATTAAAATACAGAATAAAATGTTTTACCGCGAACAAGGATTCAAACGCCACAGTTCGAGAAAAGCATTTTTTTGCCAGGACTTTAATTGATATTCAATAAGTGGTGATTATAGATATTGTTGTTAGTTTTCTGTTGTAACATTTGATTCTAAAATTCTTAAGCACCATTTTCCATGCTTGCACTTGGCAACTACTTCTAAAAGAAAGCATGTGGCCATGCAGACAGGTCTAATGCAGTCTCATAGGAAACTCATTGGTTTGGATATTATTCATATTTTAATGTTGCATAGTAACGTATAAACATTGGATAGGTGATTCAACTTACAATAAATAATTGATAAGTGGTATATTGATGGAGGCTCCGAAAGACACTGCATTATATTGAGTCTTTGTAAATGTGATAATTTATAAACACAACATTTATATTGTAAAAATCATAAATATACACTTTTCATCGTCTTTTCCTGCTGTACAGTTTGAACTGGACTTGGTCTTGTGGTTACAAACATTACTTCAATCGTAGACATTTCCCTTGGTTCCTCCAAGTGGTTTTTGTCTGCTGACAACAGCAGTGAATAGCGGTCGCCCTTTGATGTTCTCAGCAGAAGAGATTTTCTGTTTATTTGCCATTGACGGAGCCCTGTGGTTGAGGGTTTAAACAAAAGGAATATCTACATTTAATATTTGCAGTGTAAAAGTTGTGAATGATCTAATACGACAGTAATATTGCTAATATTAGAACGTCAATGAAGTGCAGATTTGTAAATGTGTCCGTTATTACTGCATGTCACAAGCCTATTGCCATTCGTTTTACTTCATTGGCTTCAGAGTTAATCAAATGCTATATCTTAAAAGTGAATGAATAACAAAAACACTGTAAATACATGTCAAGTTCCAGGCTAAGTAATTATAATTCAATGTGACATGCCTGCAAAAATACAAACAAAGGTGATTATCGTACTTGGAGAGCATGTCTAAGGTTTTCTGTGTAGACTTGGTTTTCTTGTGCTGAGCGCCGTACAGGATTGTTTGAACATCCAGACACTGATAAAAGCGAAACAAAGTATTATATGCCTAAAAAAATACGGTGTTCAACTTCATGTCAACACGACATAAAAATGGTGTTATAGTTATGATACCTTTTAAGGGATATTGCACCTAGTCTTCTTTCACTTGAATTGCATACTTTCCCAAATCAAGGTAAAAATATATTGTCCCTACATAAGATGCTAAAATGCAGTAATAATTTACAACCTTTTGTCAATCCACTGCCTCCCCATGCCATGTAACCATCGTAGTTGTTTAACCATAGTTCATGCTCCATAATAACTAATGCTAGTAAATGAAGATTGAAGGTTGATGGCCAGGACCAGATGAGATATTACGTTTTACGGATATAACCAAAGGTTTGGTATCAAACTCAAATGGCCAAATTCGTAGTACAGGGCATAAACCACTGTGCCACTACCGCACTACCAATGTGTTTTTGTATTAACATTACTTGCAAGGGTATGCTTTATGTGAATACCTAAGACCAACCCACTGCTAAATTTTGAGGAATCTGCACGTTATGCAATATGAAGTAACATTGTGAAACTACAAAATCATATTTTTTATAAGGTCTACACATGATGATTGCTATATTTCCCAATATTTCCCTAGCAAAGCTACCTTGTTGAGGTGTTTGTAAGCTTTTTCCAATTGGCCCTCGGCCATTCGGATTCCTCCCATGAGGTGGTGAGTCTCCGCCAGTTCCTTGCTGAACTCCCCAAACACAGACGCCTTGACATTCAGGGAGATTTGGAGCCTGATAATTGCTTCCTGTAGCAAATAGACAATTCCACCAGCAAAATAATGTGCTGCATCTTTTACATTTGACACGAGAAGACTATGGACCAGTGACAGTTTACTTTTATCAAGCACTTTTGGATGTCATTAGTTTGCTTCATTGTGTACAGAAACCATGCGTGTCTTACTGCAATTTGTTGAGCGCTGCTGTATTTTTCAGTGATAACTGCTAAACTTACTTCGATGTTAGATTTAATTTTTGAATTGCAAATATTGATATTGACAAAGTCCTTCGTTTAAATGTCTTAATGTTTGTGTTCTTATCTAATATTTACCCTCTACTATTATTAGAATATACTAATTTATCATGATGATCAGGGTCAAAAAATATGGTTACAGTATATATTAAATCGTTATTTTTTCAAATAAATGTTATTACATGAAAATCAGTCTTATCAGGTCTCGTACTGAAATTAAATGTGAACACGGCTAATTTTATTGTGAAAAACACATTTTTGTCAACTGAGCAATCTGGCTTGTTTTCTGTAGGGTAATTCACGAATAGTGATGCAACTTTATACAAACAATGCGTGTATTTTAGGTTACAATGACCCCCATTACAGACAAATGACATGGCTAATGGCTTAATTCGTTCAACCTTGCTTGTTAAGTATTGAAGAGACTTCAGCTTTAGTAAATGTCCTTTTCTGTATTCCTAACATGAATGATTCCCAATTATAATAAGTTATTGGACAAACTGGCTGCAATTATGAGTGTTCTGTGCCATCTATAGAACTTGTGTAATGTACCTGATGTCTTTTGGCACGAACCAGTAGGTGGCAGAGATCATCTTGCACACAAAGCCACTCAGTACTGTCAGATCCATACACCAGCTCATAGGAGTTCAGGCTCTCTACAAAGTATTTCTCAGCCAAGCCTGATGCAAACAATTGAAACAGTCAATGCAATACATAATTGTTATTTTATTCTCCATGTAAATAATTCCTGTGTTAAAACCTTCAACAATGCATTTTTGGGGTATGTAAAATGTTAATAAATATCGATGCATGCCGTGGAACCTAGTCCACCTAATTCAGTAAATTTACCACAATTTCTGAAAAGTTAAAGCACACTCCATTTGTATTTCACAATTTTGGTCCTGCTCAGGTGCTTGGCACAAGTACATGAAAATAGAAAAGCTTGAAGAGCCATGTCATAACTGCTCTTTGAACCATACATCCATATACCTAAGTATGATTAAAATGAACACGTGCCTGAGCTCTGAAAGAGGCAGTATGGTAAGCAATAACAGATGGTGCACACGGAGGATTTGCTAGTCAACTTCGATATACTGTACAGGAGACGTTAGCCTCCTGTACAGTACATTTGTACACTGTTGCCAACACAATCTGTTCATGTTTAGTGGAGCACATAGCCTACACATCGCAATGCAATGGCTCCCAACTTCAAGGACTGAGGCAGTTCTTATCTGTTTACAGCCCTGGGCCAGGGGTGGGAATTCTTCATTCCTTTGGCCGGAGCATGTCTGTTGATCGCATGACTCCTATTTGCATCCCACGAAGTGGTATTCATTTTATCGACTTAACGGACAGTAAAATTCCCCCAATCAATAAAACTGCACGTGCTGCCCCATTTCTGTACGTAATCTTTTAATGTCACATTATGCTTTTAAATAAAGCAATTAAAAACACACCAACACTGTTCACTTTGAGAATGTACTCGGCCTACCCTCAAACTCTTCATCTTTGGCTGCTGCACATGCCTTGGCCATGATGTGAGCCGTCTCTGCTGCCTCCTTGCTGTCGGTGGTGTAAGAGGCCAGCGCAATGGAGTGAGCCTGCAGTGCATCCAGCAAGTCTACATGAGGCTCACTTCGGTGAATGCTTTTCATTATGAATGACACGCAAATTTCATTTTACTATTTTTCAGCTTGCAGCTAAGGCGCATGCACCATCATGTAGTGCCATTCTTTACAGAGCCATTATGAGGTACAGCTTTTGTGGAAGTATTGAGGAAAAAAAAGATGGGAAAAGTTCACTTTGGCCGAGAGGCTGCCTTTAATATAACCATCCATGAGAAAACAAATGACAAACCATATAAAGTCCATTGTGAATTTGAAATAAAAAATCTTAAGGGCTCACTCCATATTTAATCCAGAAATCTGAATGCATGCTATCTACGGGTCAAGATGCCCCAAGCTGGAACTCTTGAAAGCTTCGAAGTGAGCACAGTACAGCCATGACTTGCCTGCAGGAGGTTCTCGATTGCCTGCTGGTGGTTCTGCCGTGCGTCCTCTGCATGGGCCAGATCCTGGTAGGCTGGGATCAGCTCAGGGCTGTCCTCCCCAACTGACAACTGCAGTAGTTTAAGTGTCTTCTTCAGTCGCTCAACTGCCAGAGCTGGCTTCTCCTGTTGTATGGACAATCTGATAGCAACCAAGCACACACCAAGCAGATGTGCAGCCACTAAAATGAGATAGCCTAGTCCTCACCTTCAAATTCACTTTTATAATTGAAGTCTAGAAAAATGTGAATCATTCAATACTAGCTCTTTTCACAGAAGAATCAAAACATCTGCAATACAATGCATGAATGCCTCTAGTATAAGCAAGTTTACGAGGATAACAATTACAATAGATTAGCCCTTGTAAATCAGACCCCTCGTGGTATACCATGCTATATAATGTTAAAATAAAAACTATAACACGTGAAATTAAATTACTTACTGTACCTTAGTTTCTGATATATCTAAAACCTAATTTATTGGCTCTTAAATTGTTGATTTTATATGGATCGTTTATTTTTTATGTTATTTGCATGGTTATCAATTATAGTATGGACGTCTTATATATGCAATGCATCTCTGACATAGATAAACGTATCATCCACAGGTGAATCAAACCAAGCATACCATGGACAAAATGTCCAACGGCTTTAGTACATAATGGATTCAAATTATTCCTACCAAAGCTTTTTTTTAAACCAGAGGCATATGGTTGCATTCCCAGTAATCTGTAAATGGGATTTAACATTCTGATTCTATTAAGCCATCTAATAAAAAAAAGTTACTTGTGGTGATATAATGTGTTCTACATAAAACAGCACCTGCCCAGGGCTTGTGTGACTTCCACGTCCATGTCCCCCTGTTCTCTCTCCAGCACCATCCCTGTCTTTGACAGCTCATTTGCAATCTGCTCTGCCCTAAGCAGGCCTTGTTCTGCCTCTTTCAAAGTGATGTTTGTCAAGAAGTCATGTGCATTAGAATATTATACAAACATTCTTATGCTCACAAAATCAGATATTTGAAGGATTGATTATTTTAAATGTATGCAAATTATCCGGTTACATTTCAGATAATGGAGTAAAGTTGTACACATTTTGACACAATTTTTTAAAAAGATGATCAAAACTAAAAAAACTTTTTTATCAAATCATAACAATTCATGGAATCGCTGGGCGGGGGGTGAATCATTACGTTTTTTTATGTTTTGTATCTGTAAAAGTATTAATTGAACATAAATATATACCACGCTATTTCCTGGTTCCATATCGAAAAAAGCATCGCTATCAAAATGTACATAACAAAAGAGAATACAACATCAACATAGAAAAGCCTTTGCAAAGAGACCTTTGTTTACCAGACAACATATAGTCATATTTTTGGTTCTTTCGGTAAAGTTACGTAGAAGGGAAAACAATAAAAAAAATATATAAAACAATACAATTTTCACGACGTTTCGACTGCAACACAAGCAATCATCATCAGGTGTGAAAACCACAACAAGAAAATTTGAAAAAAAAAAACAAGAATATGAATCCCTGCAGTCACGAAAGCTTTAAATAAAAATTTAACATATAAACCTTCACAGACATCCGTGAAAGGTTCAGTACAATACTTGTGGTTCCATACGGGAGTTTGCTGCACAATGGAAAGGATATTTTTTTAGATGAGTGTTGGCCTTTCCCAGCGTGCAGTAGATTGTGAAGAGAGTTTTGAGGATGTTGGTGCGCTCTCCCGGTGACGAGGGACTGTGAGGCGCTGTCAACATGATCGCCTGGCCTGTTTCACAGTGCAGCTTTGCTTGCGGTGCCAGGCCTGGGGTTGAGGGAGAAGAGGGGTGGGCGGGGTGAGCAGGGTGTGATAAAAGTTAACGCAATAATTACATCTTAATGTTTGTTATTATAGATCGCCTGTGTTGATGAGCCATATTTACATTTGATTTAGTTTATGGCTTGTTTTTTGGTGTACACAGCAGTAAATCAAGAACCGTCTAGATGATATGTTGCCAATTAATCTAGATGATATGTAGAAAATATGTTTAACCCTTAATCAAAGCTGGGATGCCATATCAACAAAAAATGCAAAATGATACAGGTCATAAATGATCTAAGCTATTAAAACACAAGTGACAGTTAATATCCTACATCTATTTTTCTCTGTATTTTACGTGTGATGCATGTTTGACCATTAGTCCCAAAGTCTGGTTTGACCACCGGAATGTGAATTTGTAGTTGTTGCTCTGCATCTACATCTGCCATACGAAAGAAGAAAAAGTCCCAAAGTATCTCACCTCTCAGGCTTAGATAACCATGAGCCAGGTTGGCATAAGCTTGTGCCACCTGCCAGTGCTCATCTCCAAAAACAATTCGACTCAGAGCCACACACCGTATAAGCTCTGTCATAGCTTCAGGTATCTGCATATACATACACCCCAATAAACAAACAAATAACAAAACGTTTATGGATTTATTAGACAAAGATAATCAGCATGAAGATAATGTATAAGCATCACATTTCTCTTTTCTTTCAGTAATATTCTATATCACTCCCCTTAAACATAATTACACACAACTTTTTACGAGGTGACACTGGTTGAAGCATAACGTAACATAACTAATCTAATCACTCCGTGGTATTTATTGTAATACTAATATCATGTCTTTAACCAGGAGAGCACGTGTCTCACATTTCTCAGGAGGGTGTTGCACTGTAACGTTTTGACACTTTTCTTTGATCGAGTATTGTGAATGTTGGAATAAACTGGTATACCCAGGGCAAACCATCACATACGAGGGAATAAACACGCAAAGGCTCACAATGGTGGGCCATTAATACATTTGATGAAATGTCACTTTGCAACCAAGTGGATTTGGGAGTTTCACAAATCTAAGTGATCAAACAACCCTCGCCTCGGAGACACTGATGACACGTGTGTACCGCAGACCACTCGGCAACTGTCTTGAATATATATTTTTTTATTGCATGCTTAAAATAAAATGATTGTCTGCCGTTCGGAACACAACCTATATATTCACATCAGCACTATAAATATCTAAAACAACATTGGCAAATAATACTGTTGGGTACTTAGAATGCTACCTGTTTGTTTCTCATGTGTGCCTCTGCAATTTTCATGGCGATGGGCAGTTTGTCCTCAGGAGGGGAATTCCATTCGCCAGACGTGAAGTCACCACCCCTTTTCCTCCGCCTCCTCTCTCTGGCGCTGCAACTGGGTCTCGTCGACGGAGTTTCTGTGTGATCGCTGGAGTGGCTGCTGTTGAGGCTGACAAGAAATAAGTATTGGATAACTCAAGATGTTTGTTATTCACACAGTTGTGTTCAATGCTAGTGCACTGCTGTCAAGTGGCATAGGATCGTTGGCATACCCCAGGATGCAATACAAGAAATGTGGTCTCGTATCCAATGTCCATTTCTTTGTGACCGGGTAACTGGACCCCCCTCTCTGTGGACCCCAGTGCAGTTGCACCGCCTGAACATTGACAGCAACGCAGCTATGGCAAGTGTTTACCTCTACGGTACATACATGAGTTGTTGACGTAGTTGACTATGAGACACACAGAAGCTTGCTCGCTATAAAAAAAACACCGTTTGACTACTGGATACAGAACATTGTGGGACAATGTTTAGGTATGCACAAGGGCTTTGGAGGTAGACCACGACACCACTGACGAGTAATCTAGACAACACGGTGGTGGTCAAGGAGACACCACCCAAGGAGAGACACTCCTTGGGTGGGGGAGGCGGACAAGAGGATCCTGAGGTGTCCAAGACTCCACATGCTGGGGAGGTAAATGCTCGATTCTCTGACTGGGTGAACATGAACAACTATTTCTAACTAGAGCAGCGTTCTTCATTGCAAGGTCCGCTGGCCACTGGAGGCGTTTAGTGCGCCCCCCGACAATACGCACGGATGTCCTTATCAGAACTCCCCTTGTAGGCGGTGTGACGGCCCTCACCCTGATATCTTATACAGAGTAGATACGCAAAAATCTGTCAAAACTTGACCCCTGCCCCCTTCCCTGTACGCACGCGGACTTTTTACACCCCCCCCCCTCGAATCCTACAGAACGGCCGATATTTAATCCACGCAGAAACGATCAAGGATTAATAATACTATTAACGTGTTTAAGTAAACAGATAGTCCACCGCCGGACGAACTCATTTGAAGTCCAATGTAGACAAATTATTAGCGAGGCTTCACCGCCCCCCACGTTTCCTATACGTACGCACATTGTCAGTAGACCCCCCACCCCCATACGCAAGCGTACGCATTTGTGTTAACCCCCCTCCCTCCATACGTACGTGCGTACTAAATGGATGGCCCCTAAAGGCGAAAGTGCCTTCCCCCACCTGAGCATTATTAAAGAACACCCGCTCCAGAGGCGGCGGAGGTTCATCCTCAAGTATGTCTCGGTGCCGCCGGGGAAGGAGACGAGAGAAGATACGGGGCAAAATGGGAAGCCAATCTCCCGAGTCGCTAGAAAGTGAGGAGGAGAAGGAGGAGGAACCCCGCCGAGTCCGCCTCTCCTCACCTCCCGTCCACGGCTCCGTCCGCCTCCTCCTCCTCCGTCCCGGCCCAGCGACCGCTCGGCACCTCCAGCACGACGGGCCTGCGCGCCTCGCCATCGCTCGCGCTCCCACCGTTACTCGTAGCCATTTGTCGTCAATTATAAACTAAGAGCTATGATACCAGTGCCACCACGACGACTAACCGCCGCTCCAGTAATAATGGTAGTAATTACTCGACTGATATTTTTTTTATTTTCAGCAGCTTGTGATTCACGCCTCGGGCCTAGCCGAAGTTGCGCGGCATCTGTCCGCGGAGTTCAAAACGCGCGTCCGATTTAAATTACACGGTATCTAAAATTAATTAAACGTTCAAAGATATACGGATTGATCTATCCGCCGCACGTTATCGCGAACATAAATTAACCGCGTATACTTATTTAGTTAATTCTGAGGTAAATAACAACAGGCCGCTGTGTTGACCGGAGCTGCCGAGGAGGAGCGGGTTACCAAGGCGACGGAGTCACCACGGGTCGTCGAGTGGACACAATCACAAAACGCGATTTTTTAAATCAATCTTCAGTCGACCACAGCATTGTCGTGTTTCTGTAAACGATACCGTGTATGCATTATTCCCAGTGCATGTCCTATTCATGCCGCTAATTTAAGGTATAAGCAACCGGTGAGTAGCAAAATAAATTCGAGGATAGTTTCGCCTTCGCATGTCAGTCTCCAATAAAAAAATGTTTCTTACACAACCCATTAGCCGCCGTGGTCTTAGGGACCGTCCATAAATGACGTCACGCGATTTTGGAGGATTTTTAACCCCCCCCCCCCTTCGTCACAAAAATTCAGACCTCCCCCTCAAATATGACGTCACAAAGCTCTGCTCCCCCCCCCACCCCCTCAAAATAAAACATGCTTCAAATCGCTTTAAACTATTGTCATTGTCGTGCGTATTTAATGTGGCGCTGCACGCTGATGTTGTAGGAGAAAACATTTATTAAAAAGTCTTTCATTAAGTAGAACGTGTTGTCTATATTTAAAGTTGCGCATTTTGGTGTGACGTCACATTTCTCACCCCCCCCCCCCCGTCGTCACGCATCGCCACAAAGGTGCGTGACGTCATTTATGGACGGCCCCTTATGGGATTGCATAAATTCAGGATTGTTTCAAAATAAGAAAAACTCTGGCTGTGTAAGATATGTTTATTTAATGTGGAGACGGATGTGTGCAAGAGATATTGCTTATTTAGTTATTTATATGTACCGCAACACTCAATATTATTTTGAGCAATTACCGTAATAATTTAAATCACTTTAACATGCAGTTAAATATGAGACCTCTCTTCCCAGTATGGCAATAAAACAGGTGTCAAGATGTTAAAACACCAAACAGAATAATTATTCAAGGAATCCTGTCTGCATTCACCACACGTACTTGGGGTGAACATGCGAACAAAAAACATGCTTTGATAACACTGTCACAAAAATGTTTTTTGTTCCTGGGTAGTAAATGTTATATCCGAATTGCCTATGCCTCAAAAGTACAGAAAATGGCTAGTATTCCCCACAAACTTTGCTTTTGTGACCAGGACAGTGATATTTTTAAATCTACCTATTTTCAATGAGAAAACGCGGTGTGCATTTGTGTCATTCCATCACATAAAGTCCTGGTCACAAAATCAAAGTTTGCGGGGAATAATATCCATTTTCTATACTTTTTAGGCATAAGCAATTAAAAAAATTGCACTTAGTACCCAGGAACAAAAATTGTGTTACATCGTGTATAATATATGCATTGCGTTGAAACTGATTGGTCCACACCAGAGACACCTTTCTTTTGAGCCGAGACTGAAAGTGTTAGACCAGAGAACAACAGAGACAATGCACTATCAGGGCATTTATTGCCAGGGGCGAGCAGCTACAATATGGGACCTTGTCAGTATTAAAATCTAATAGGTTTTACCCTTTCTTGCCAGTATTACAATATAACAATGTGTTTTACCCTTTCTTGTATTGTAGCTGCTCACCCCGAGCTATAAATGCCTTGATAGTGGCATTGTCTCTGTGCTGTACACCTTTTGGCGTCCTCTGGTCTAACACTTTGGGACTAGGCTCAAAAGAAAGCTGTCTTTGGTGTGGACCAATCAGTTTCAAAGACAATGCCATATATTATTTCAAGCATGTTTTTTGTTTGCATGTTCGTGTGGTTAATGCAGACATGATTCCTTGAATAAGGATTCTGTTTGGTGTTTTAACATCTTGACACCTGTTTTATTGCCATAAAGGGTAAAACCTATTGTTATATTAAGTTAAATGTTAAGATTGTTTTTGGCTTTCGCTGATTACTGCAGTACTGGGCGTTATTTGCTGTGCGTGAACTCATTTGAACGAATTTGGTTAAACGATTAAAGCATATCTTTAAGACGTGACACTTTTGACTTCCTCTTAAATTGCTTTGAAAATTTTTGTGCTTCGTTTTCCCAATTACTTTCTGAACAACTTTCAGTGCATGTGTGGTGGGTAATTGTCAAGCGTAATACGCCGCCACTACTACTGGAAAATATGAAGCTCCAGTCAAGGCCCAACAGGGGGCAATAGCGGGTCCAGCCTGGACCAAGTAGGACTGGTGGGTCAGGCAATCTGAAGGGCGGTTAGGAACTGGAGGTGGATACCCCAGGCCCCCAAGTGAGGGCTGGAGAATTGCGCAACAATCTAGGTCCCTCCAGAAGGTTCCAGAGAGTTGGCGTGGCCAAAGGCGGAGTGATCCTGGGAGCCCCATAAAAGCCGGACCCCAGAGCGGCTCCGGCAGTCAGTGTCAAGTTGAAGAGCTCGCCTGAAGACTAGGACCCTGAAGATCCCCGGACCCGAAGTCTTTATCAGGGCCGGGTCTGAGTGGGCCAGTGGTCGAGACCCGAGGACCTTGGCTGGGTCGGGACAGCCTCACATAGGTCCCGTTAGCCAGAGGGCTAAGATTAGGTGGTCCCAGTGACTAGGGCACGTTAGCCCAGATGCTATACCTCTTCAGGTCGTCGGGTAGAAGGGGCCATTATTACCCCTTCGTGTTAGGGACCCCGTGTGTTATTGTTAATAAATACAAACCATCACACGTCGTAAAGAAATGTTTATTTGGAATCCTCGTTATAGAATAGCCACATACGATCACAACACATAATAATGCTGAAATTATGCACTCGCAGAATGCCTTGTTGGCAGGAAGAGTTAAAAACACTGGTATTTATGTGGACAGCCAGATATATGAAGGGGATATTGTGTCTGTATTATTTTGTTACTTTGAAACCACTTTAATCGGCATATTCGAATGATTGAAGTCAATTTCGCCGAGATTACAATTGTGTTTAGGGTAACATGAGAACATGTAGAGTAGAATGTGGGCCACGAGAAGGCGACAGTTTCCCACCCGAACTTGGACCACATCGTAAACCACCGCATTCTGCGCTCCTTTAACGGAGTAGCAAAACTACACGAACTCTCTGCTGAATCACTCTCGTGGCTAGCAGACCTCGACATAAGCATTTAATTCCTGAACATATTGCCACACGCAACAATAGAATCGGCCTATTCATACACACTCGGGGCATAACTTGTATGTGCCGAGCAAAGAGCTTTCTTCGCATGCCGAACAAAATATTTCAGGAGCTTGAATGAATTGAGAAAACAAAGTGCTTTTTTGCGATCTTTGGGGTGACCAACAATTCGCTCCACTTGAGAACCCGGTTTACCAGTCCTGTGATCTGCCATTCTATACCCCGGAGCCAATTGGCTACTTCAGGTTTTATGTCCTAAATCCTCTCTTTGGAATATTACATTCTTTCTTACAATCATTCACACGTAGGCCTACAATGTACAATTGTCAATATAAAAAACCCCATTAATAACAATTCCCTGATTTGGCAAATTTATAACAGACGATGTTTTAGGCAAAGGGTTTCCTACTCTATTAAGTAGGGTCATTTTCCAAAACTGTCTTCTAGTACTGTATATATATTCCTCTTTGGCAGTTATTGATAAATGTGCTTGTGTACCACTGTCAAAGTATCATCACAGATTTGTAATACATTTCGATTTAAACTTTCGTGACTGCAATGATTCATCTTCTTTGGTTCTTTCTCTTGACTTTACCGAAAGAACCAAAGAAGTTGTAATACATTGCATAGGCTCTATATAGTCAAATGCTGAAATGACAAACATATCCTTAAGAGGCTTGCTGCAAGTTTTTATTAAACACATGGAAACAGAAAACTGCTAAATCTCAACCAAACACAAGGATCAATTACAGGTGAAAATGTCATCAACAGTTACCATTAATTTCATTACACGACTTATGTACACCGAGATCACAGGATAAAAAAACCTTTTTACGACAGGTTTTGATGTCACTGTGATTCTTGTGGGTCCATATATCATTGCATCACATTGTAATAAAAATGTATTGGCAAATAAATAAATCTGTTATGTTTTTACAAATCTTAAAAAAAGGACAACCATTTTTTACTCAACTTCCAAGGTAAATCCTGATAAGCGTTCAGTGTTCACGTGGGTATTTTACAGCAGACATCATAGTAGGATCGTTGTTTTAACCATCTGATTTGATACATTTCAAAGCACATTTAGGAATACTTTTAACAAATACTGCAGATCAAATGTGTATGAACTTACAAACGGTAGCTAAATGAAATTCGGACTTGAACACTCTAAATTGAAGTACACCTTTATGATGCTCATGGGGCTCCATTTTTTCATAAAGAACTGACAATTCCATGACCAATTAATGCAATAATTTTGCCAAGTAAAACAATACGAGCAATCCTCATCTCAATGTTGCAGAATGCTAACTGTATTCAGTCCTGTTAGAAAGTATTTAAATGATTGCTTTATGGCTTGCACACATCAGCTTTGGCTGGTGCAGATATTTTTTTTCTTTCATAGTAGACTCCTTTGTATCGGCCATTCTTTAACCACTACATCGCTCGTAAAAGGTGTGTAGCGAGTCATTTAAAGTTTTATGTATATACAAAAAATAGAACTGTAGCATGGCAGTTGCTGAACAGAAACATTTGAATTGACAATTAAAAATCTAGGCAGTTTCACTTTATATTCTTTATTTTCTGTCTCTTGCAGGGGTTCACACAAGCTTGATTATAGGAAAGTACTTGTGTGCTGAGAAATCAAATTCTGGAGGAACCTGGAAAGGAGAATAAGGTACAATCAGTATGTTTATGTACTTCCAGTGATACATATGGCAGTTCTGATGTAACTGTGGTATGCAGTAGAGACTAAGAAGTTACAATAGACTGCAGTAGGTAACAGTGTAGCAGAATGGTTTACCTTTGAATCCTTCTTGTGGCCTCCAGCAAGAAGCTTCATTACAACATAGTTGGTCTTCACAATCTTAAGCAGACTGTTGATCTGTAAAAAATAAATGAATCCTCAATTTCTGTATTTTTATTTAAACAGTACATAATTGCACCAACCAAACATGAGTAAATTCTGAAATGTTATTTATGCATGTTTAATAATTGAAGCATGCATACTGTGACCACATCACTTATTCCTGAATGTTTGATTAGCACGGTTGGCTAAGTATGATGAGAACGAAGTTCAACATACATACAGTGTAACTTTTGTCTATAACATGTTTCTGAAAGTTTTTGCTATCATAAACAGCAGCGTAATTATATGGACAGTGGTGCAACCTATAGTTAGGATACATTAAGTTTATATGGTGTGGAGTTAAAGGGTTTGTGTTAGTTTTCAGCTTTTAGACTTTGTGAGAGCTTGCTATGTCAAGCCAATGCGACTTGTGATAGGTTAAGGAACAGGCTTTGATGAACAACGTGTTTTCATTTTATTTAAGACCATCTATATGCCTTCCACAAATCTCAACCCAAATGAAATATTTTGACATTCTCCTGGTACACTTTGACCAACATAGCCGGTGTGATTTGCTTACAACATTCAATAATGTGCAAGCTAAGGTAAATGATATCTCATGGTTTTTCCACATGCACATGTGCTCTTTGACATGACCCTAAAATGAAAATTCCAACAAAGTTATGTCAGGCGTACACGGGGGGAGGGCATGTGATTGCTCCACATCGACCAGTCACGTACTGGACCGGATCAGGGTCATTAGAAATTAGTGGGGTATCTATAAGTGAATGACCCTATACAGTGGGGTTTAGAATGGGGACTGTGCCAAATGTGTGCTAACCTCAGGATCTGGGCTGGCCATGTTGTCGAGGATGAGCTTGGTTTGCTGGAAGTGCTTCCCAGCAGAGTTGTAGAAGTCCTCAGCCTGCAGCGGGGGGTTGTACTTGGCCAGATTTGTCATTTCCTTGCAAACAAACAGCAAATGCATTAATTGTTCTTAAACCAGTGCACCACTTTTTTCAAATTTTCTTGCTGTGGTTTTTACACCTGATGATGATTGCTTGTGTTGCAGTCGAAACGTCGTGATAATTTTATTGTTGTATATTTTTATTATTTTATTGTTTCCCTTCTACGTGACTTTACCGAAAGAACCAAGAATATTAATCCCTGCAGTCACGAAAGCTTTAAATTCAGTGCACCACTGTTACACTTTTTTTTAACACCGCCACCACCAAACGTAACCAGTGCAATAAACTCTCTCTCCCTGGAATCCACGACAAGTGCTGGGAGCAGTGGACACCTTGAACTGTGCGTAATGCACGGGCGGTGGGGTGATGACGCTGTTGAAGGGCGCAAAGCGGTGCTCGAAACGGACTTGCTCGCCATCCAGCTCAAAAGTGGGCTTCACGACCTTCCCATCCAGGTCAAAGCCCACCATTGCCTGCACAAGGGGGAACACAACAAAACTGAGCTTTAAATCACATGGTCAATCTCCATATGTTCCTAAGATATTTAGCTTTAATATCGTATCTCTATATAATACGCATGTTTGTCTGTCTGTAACATACCGAAAATAAAAGAGTAACAGTTTGGCTGGCTGGGAAGAGGGGGGCTGACGGTATCACCCGAGATTGAGGTGAGGTGGAAAGGAGGGGTTGATGACGTCAGAGATGCTGGGGTGTTTAGAGGGGAGGAGTGATGATGTCACGCAATGCTGGTGAGTCAGAGCAGAAGGGTGATGTCACGCAAATTTGGGGTTAGTTGGTGAGGAGGGGGTAGTGAGGAGAGTGGCTGATGGCCTCATGCGACATGGGTGAGCTGGAGAGGGAGTGGTGATGACAAGGGGTTGATGGCATCACGTGGGATTTGGCAGTGGGTAGAGAGTGCAGCCTGTGCTTCCTGAAGTTTTGTTTCATCCTACTGTATGAATCTTGTTTGTCTCTAACGCTCTTTGCTAGTGTTTACTGCTAGCCATTGCCCACATTGTTTTTTAAAATGCTTTTATCAATGACACGCATTGTAATGCATGTACAATCGTGAATAATTGTTATTTATTTTCAGCTTATAAGTATGAAAATGCATTATTTCCAAGTTTATGAATCTTCATATTCACCATCTTTACTGCAGAAGTTCCGTGGGTTCCTGCTAGAATGATATAATACACCCCCATGTGTATGAATAAGGTGTGTCATATGTTTAGCACTTGCCTTATACATGCCTGCACAGTAGCTCTGATAGGCTTGGTTCATAGCGATTTCTTTTCCAAGTGGTCGTGCTAAAACCAATACAATATCACATTTGTGTTATTTCTACACGTTAATAGATTCAAAAACTATCGAAGCGACTTTTTTTTACATAGTTGTTATAAGTGCAACGGTACAACACAGAACACCCTGGACATTCTTGTAACTGAGACGTTCCATCGCAAGGGATTATCCAGGTAAAACAATTGAATAACATATGGCCATTTTCACGCACCTCCGATTAGCACTGTTAACTACGTATGGTGCGAAAAGAAGTTCATACATACAAAGATCAGAGCATTTCTCCTATTTGAGGAACGATATTTACATTATGAAAAAAGTTGCAACATTAAAATGACTGTACGACGAACTAAATTCTCAGGCTACATATTACCATTCAAAGTATCAAAATAATTTAACCGAAACGTTCCAATACAATGAGGGAAAAATTGAGAGACTCCCACCTAGTACAGAAATTCAGCTCACCCATTACATAAGAGGCATCACTGCTGTTAACGTACCCCTTTTCTTTTTCTTGGACTTCTTGCTGCTCCGCCCCTTCTGAGTCTCCTCAGAAAGTTTCTCCTCGGCTAGCTGGGCTGCGTCAGCTCGTGAGAGCGTGGAAATGAGCCATCCGTAGAGCAGCTCTGACAGGTACCTGTGGGGCATCGAATATAACACGGCAAGTTGCCAAAAGGGCCCTCTATGACAAAGGACATAAAGGAAGCTTAGGGCGCATGGTGCCTGAACTGGCTGAACAACTATATCACCGCATTCTCCAGATGATAAAAATCTCCGGAAACTAAGACGGGCCCCAAACTTGTGTCAGGTGTAAATAACATTTTACAACTCTGGTCACACACACTGGGATAAGCAGCATCACCAACTTTTTTCTTCAAAATACATGAGAAAATGTGCACCTTATAATCTCGATATGGTAATGTTGCTGTAATTTACATATTCAGAACACTATCCCTGAGTTGCAATACTTTTTTCAGTAGATGTCAAGCCAATTCTATTTTAAGATTATTTTCCACGGAGGAGGAAACCAAAGTACCTTGAGATAATCCACAAATATAAAAGAATATTGAAATGTCCGCACAGATAGCTGAGTGAACCCACTTGCTTTAATACAATCTCCTGGCCACTTTGCAGGCCAGCAGGCTCTGGAATTCCAGAAATGTTTCACATATCCAGCAAGCTTTGTCTACAAAGCACTGGTCTGCAGCTGCTGTGCCACAATATAAGCAACAAATGCTCACCAACAGCAGCTGATAAAAATCTATGTTGACTATCCACTGCTTCATGGTCTTCCACACCGTATTGTAGGGGGCCCATCACTGGTTCAGATATCACTCACTGCTGCTGTTAGCCATGGCTGGGAATCGAATGCGACCACTTGGTTCACAGCGCCGTGCACTCACCACTGCTCCACCTTACGCAGCTGTTACAAATACAACAAATATGGATTATCAAAACAAAAGGAATATGCAGGTGCACACCAGAAAATGTAGTGGTACTCATGCACGTTGTAGAGTTCCAGCTCGAATCCGCTCAGGATGTACTGGATCATGACGCGCAGGTTGTGGTACAGCACCCAGGTGCCTATGTATGCCAGGTGCTGTCGCTGTGGCTCCTGCTTGATGAGCATCGTGTGCAGCGCCGCATCCACCTTCTCTGCCTTCGGAATAGCAAACACAACGTTGCCCTCTTTAAACCCATATGATGTATGCACCCACATAACATTGGAAACAAAATGTACAACCCAGCAATAATTATTGCTTTGAATATTACACTTGTTTACTCAAAAAAGCCTCATGGAGTCAAATTACTCCCTTCTTGAATGTCCTGCCAGGTTTTCGCAGTGGTCTCAGATGATTCGCTATGTATATTCTAAATGAAAATTCAGCAAAGTTGGACCATGATGCCTGCATTGGAGGGAATCTGGAGAAAACCCATGCATAAGACGGGGTAACTTTTAACGCATTGCAAAGATGCCGCACATTCCTACAACACCTGGTGTTGCCTGATAAACTTCTATCCGAGTACTGACCAGTCTTAATGCTGCTTATAGGCCATATATATATATCATATAGATGGGCAGCCATTCCAAGAGGCTCTTCTGCCAGCAGAGGTGTGAGCAAGTAATTGCAGGGCTGCACTTTTAATCTCACATCGACCTATGCTTTCATATTTATGTAGATTGCCACTGATAATGCCCACCTCATCCTGCAGGGTGTAGAAGTCCTCCAGTACGTGGCCCAGCTTGTCTCGCTGCCGTGCACGGTTGTGCCCGTGTATCTGGATGAGGCTGCAGAATGGCTGCACCCAGAAGGAAAAAATGTTCAAGGAACCAATTATTACGACTTTGTAGCTCTCTGATGTGTTTTCAGGTTGGACAGCGCAATGTTCGGCATGATGTCTGATGTTTTGCTCCAAGTTCTGGGAGACTTTTCAGGAATTTAATGGTGCAGCTCACGTTCATCCTTGATTATATATAGGTTTCCAGGTGCATGTAGAGTGAACCATCGGACATCATGCCAAACAACAAGCAATACAACCTGAAAAAGCATGTTATTCAGGAATAAAACCAATGATAAGGGTGTGCAAAGGTTCAAGAGGGATGTAGTGTTGAAGAGTGCTCAACGAATGTCGAGAGTGAGAAGAAGAGATGCGAACGCTCACCCTGACAGCATGAGATAAGAACGTCTCCACGTACTCCCTGGCCTGGGCATGGTTATACAGTGAGCACCTGAAAAGTTTCACAGTAGCAATTAGGTTATCTCAATATAATTATCGCACTTCAAACAATAAAGCGTACCGAGTTGCAGACTCTCAGAACGAATCTGAATGGATAACCTTAATGAAACGCTCAATAGAGTTTTAATAAGGCAATTATCAGAGTGCATTTAATTCAATATCCTTGAAGTAGTTTTCACATTATATGCGATTACAATATGCAATGAAACGAACTGTGTTCCACCCAAATGATTTAATGGTACTTATAGCATTATTAAAGACACATGCCACGAGCTTTAATGTACACATTTAGAAATACACATTTCAGTAATACCATTGCAAAGATTTTTGTGGTTATGCTCGATAGTTTTCAGATGGGTTTCGGGTTGTACCGCGTGTTCTTCAGCATGGTGTCCGATATTTCGTTTCACATGTTCCTCAAGTGGCTCAGTTTGTGGGTGGCGAAACATCTGACATCATGCCAAACACGCAGTACAACCCAATAAAAAACAACGGAGAGCTACTCATTAAGATGTATAAAAGCAAGCAAGGCCTCACTTGTGGGATAGCACCGGCGGGCTCACAAAGGCTCTGAGGGCATCACGCAGCATCTCTTGCAGTAGATGGGTCCCAAACACTTTCTTGTTGTCAGCCAAGAAGGTTACCTGCCAGCCAGCACAGCCAACAATCATGTGGGAGCAGTTCAGGATTTCTTGCTGAAAAAAATATTATATACCACCAGTCGTAGCCCACGATATATAATAAAGGCTGAAAGAGCGCTGTCTGTGGACAACACACCTGCAGTAAGGACCGTGACAGCACACATGGAGACTGCTCACTGAAGGCAATGAAAAACTCCTGGGGGAAAAAATGGAAAATGTTAAAGACACATTCAGATTTTAATTAAAACATCAACGGAGCATATTCCTGATGTGGCTGTGCACTTATAACTTCACCCACCTGAAATGTAACCATGTCATGTCTATAAGTAGCTTTAAGATAACCTTGCTTTGGGACACTGCTTTATAAACACCAACTGAATAAAATATAAAATAATAGGATCTACAGTGCGCTGTGTCGTACCAGAACACTGTGGAAGCTGGCCAGATTGATGAGTTCACACACAGCCTTGATGCGCTCGATCAGTGCCCGAAAGTATTCCACCATGTCGTCCCGGCGGATGATCTTGGCGTAGCGTGGAAAGGTTGGGGGAAGCAGTCGCTGGTTGACGAGTGGCTCAAACCCCATCATCACCGGCTGGTCTGCTCCCAACATGAATATGCGGGGAAAGACATATTTACATTCCAATGCAAACAAAACAAAATCCCTGGGTGGAAATAAAATAACATGAATGCACTTTCCAGCGTTAGACACAGAAGTCTATGTTGGATGTTCAATACACACTACCACAGCTGCTCACCACCCTTGCTGGAGTCTGTCTGGGCCTGGATGCCATAGGGGAGTGAAGCAAGGATGCAGGGCAAGAGGTCACCCGCTTGCACCATCAGTTTCTGAGCCTCCTGCACCGCGCTCATCTGCCAGGAAAACAAGGCACTTTCGCTCATTCGTAACCAAATACATGTTAACAAGCCCAAACCATTATCGGCTGGAATGTTGCTCAAAATAACTTTTAAAGCATTGCCAAAAACTAATAAACATGAATTTCATTTTCTTTGGTTCTTTCGGTAAAGTCACGTAGAATGAGAATAAAATAAAAAAATAAAACAATACAATTCTCACGACGTTTCGGCCACAACACAAGCGGCCTTCTTCAGGTGAAGGAACAAAAAACTGTCGGGACGACAGAGCTCCAATGAACGCTGCAAAGATTCGTAGCGTCTTTTAAGCTGGTTGAGAGAAGAGAAGCACCTTGACAAAGGGGTTAACATATCAAACAGGATAATTTATCATTGAAATAGCTGTTGATGCTGAAAATGACAACAGTAACATTCAAGGTGCCTCTCTTCTCTCAACCAGCTTAAAAGACGCTACGAATCTTAGCAGCGTTCATTGGAGCTCTGTCGTCCCGACAGTTTTTTGTTCCTTCACCTGAAGAAGGCCGCTTGTGTTGTGGCCGAAACGTCGTGAGAATTTTATTGTTTAATTTTATTATTTTATTCTCATTCTACGTGACTTTACCGAAAGAACCAAAGAAGATGAATCCTTGCAGTCAGAAAAGCTTTAAATCGAAATGAATTTCATTCATGTTTGCAGTTACCTGACATAAACAGATATATAAATATTGCTGTAAGATCTCACCTCTTTCTTAGTAAACGCTATAAGAGCCGTGAGAAGCAATCGTGTGAACTTCAGCCGGGTGAACACCGCCACAAACTGTTGATGCTGAAAATGACAACAGTAACATTCAGTAAAATAGACAACACACAAACCGAGAACCACTGTACCAAACTGCATCGCTAACACCTACAAGGCGAGTTTCTCACGTCATTCGACACTCACCTCCAGCTCGACTTCTGGGTCTCTCTCCTCCCCCTGTCTGCTTCTTGTATTCTGCAAAACCAATATTTGTCTCATGTTACTTGAGTTACTAAAATGGTATATTATATTACTAATACCATTAGTATTGCACTTTTCACGAGAATGCATGAACAAAAATAATTTAAAAAGGGTGTTCAATTGTATTGCCAATATGAGCAGATAAAATTACCTTTACTTTCTTCTGGAAGTCATCCTCGACATCTTTCAGCATCCCTGCAAGCGAGACACTTCTCAGCTCATGCATTTCGACATCATATACTGTTGTAATGTTCAGCGATAAAATGCGTGTTAACAGCATTACCTGTTACTCTCAAGTCTGTCACATTGTTCGCCATTTTAAATCCATATGTCATTGAATGGAAATCCTCCTATAAAACAACCCAACAATATTCGCAGCTGTAAACATTCAATTACATTGGCATTAAAACATCACGTCTAGCATAATTTACTATATTTTTAAAAGTAATGTTCCTACGATATATGCCTGGGTGATTATTCAAAGTCAAGTGGTTTCCTACTCAACTGAACATTCGGTGGTGCTCATCTCTTATTTTACCCCAAGTCAGCGATGGAAATTCCACATTCCTACTGTAGGGTTCAGTTTATTTAAATAACAACCACTACGGACTTCTCATAAAGTAGTATTTTATTGACCCCAGTGGGATGTAGGGCTGAGTTGACCAACAATTAGAATTTGAATGAGATGTCCCACTGTCAACAAAGGCTAGGCAGACAAGGATTGGATCTGAAAGTATATCCATCGAGATGGAGCAATGAAATCAGCTCGTGTGCAAGTGCCAGATGGACTAACACATCATTGGTTTGTCAGAGATGGTGGAGGCGTGAGAAGGCCTTCATCCAGCAGTAAATTTACATGGCTGATGAGGATGAAGATTCTCACTGTGAGTTGTGTGCTCTAAGGACAGTGCCACTGGACCAGGTTTGGTGAACACTACATGAGAATATTTCCCTGACAGAAGCTGTGTATGTAAAAAACAAACTGTCCCGCTCACCTCTTCAAAGACAGAGGCTTTGTTGATCTTGTCTCTGGCGATGTCGCACACCTTCAGGATACCCAAGGCAAAGGCTTTCATAGCAGGGTCCTCGATCAGCTCAGGATTGTGCAGATACAGACACGTGAACACAGTCTGTGCCAGAGAGTGACCTTCCAGCCATGTGATCTGTTGGTTTGACAGAACACAGTGTGTTGCTTAATATATCAAACCCCCTAAGTACGTGTAATATTTGAACTTCCACTTGCAGCATTGTAATTACAATGAGGTGCAATTGCCATGTGCTCTCTGATAGAAAGTTATTCTTTGACAATGCAGACTTTATAAAGACCGCAACACTCATTCAAGGCTTAAAGTGACACACTGCGGTAGGTAACAAACAGCATGAACATGTTTTTAATTGATGCACTCACCAAGCAGCAGAAGCACGTGTCAATTATCCCAATCAGTTCAGATAAAGTCAAGTCCTTGGTCTTAACAGCGCCTTCCTATAAAACAAAACATATCCACTGGGGTAAGTAAGAAAATGTTAAATACCTTATGCAGGTATCTTGAACGAGCAGCCAAATGTTTGGGAACAATTTTAAAAAATCCAGCTATTTTTGGAAAAACAACATATGGAATAAGCAGAATTGAAGCTTTCGTGACTACAGTAATTATACTCATTGGTTCTTTCGGTAAAGTCACGTATATAGAAATAAAATAAAATAAATCACAAACAAAATAAAATAAATCACGATGTTTCGAACGCAACCCAAGTGCTCATCATCAGGTGAAAATGGGGCAAAACATATCGTGAGGGAACACACAGAGGGACATCACACACAGAGCACACAGATAACGGCAAACTGCACATAGGTGACTTTACCGAAAGAACCAATGAGTATGGAATAAACACTTTTTCCTTAAACACATCACAATTTGTTGACAGTAAATGGTAATGAAAATAACCTGTTAAAGTGACATGTTCTTACCTTAATGGCTTGCTCAAAGTTGAGAACTTGCCGATTCACTTGGTTGCCAATCATACCCGCATCCATCTTCGGGTCCATCATTTCGATGGCTGACATGGCTTCAAATAAGCCAAAACTAAATAAGTGAGATACACAAATAAAGATTCAATCAACTTGTTTTGACTTCAGGTATGTTTCAAAGAATGTCATAACATATACAAATAGAAATATATTTTAAAATATGTATTTACAAATTTGGCTTAAATATAGTCAGCATTAATATTCTTAAAAAGTCAAACCAATTAAAATAGATTACAAGGAATTTGCAATCACAAGTTAAAACATATCCTTTTTCTGTGCCTGTATGAAATTGTATAGTGAATAAAAATAGGTTATTTGTGATGCATGAACTTTTTCTTAGAACATTTCATGTTGGTCAATGGAACAAAACAAATATTTTTATCGAATGGAGACCCCAAATTGTGACAATTTAATTTTGGAGGGGGTGTACTGCAGAACGTGAATTTCCTTACCCCTTGTCATGAATTAATTCTCCCAGCTTGAGCTCTGCAAAAGGACAAAAGCATTTTAATAACTGTCCGAGGCAAACAGTCTGATGTGTTTTAGAATTGTATTACTATACACGGGCCTGTTTTAGTGTGGCATTACCTTTGCAGGAGTCTGTAAAGTCTGTTGAGATCTCCATCCACTCTGTTGGGCCTTTCTCTGCCTTCTCAGTCAGACCCATGCCCCAGTTCACCTCCTCCTCTTCTGTTGCTTGGCAAACTACCATAGTGGCCTCCTGTGTTAAATACGCAATGGTTACTGCTGCGAAAAACTCATTTTGACCCACAGAGAAAAAATGAAGGTACTTCCAGTAATCTTGGGGCTCAAGATAAATGCCTGAATTTCAGAGCCAGAAGTATGCTTGTATGAAATGTTAATTCCCAAGGCTCAGTCAGAACAAGGAACATTTAAGATGCTTGGTGTTTATTGTTTAGTTGAGTACAGTATTAGTGGTTCTGGCTCCCAGTCCGATTAGACACCTTTCTGATCTTTGGGTTCAATGTTACTTCCAAAGGCTGTCAGACGATGACAGCTTGTGGAATACATACAACTGTAAAAAAGAGGCGAAATGCATCACTGTATTGTCATTTACAAGATCTAGACTTAAGGCACCTTTTTGATGTTCAAGTTCAATGCGTTTGCCTGAAGTTCAGCCGAAGGAAACGTCGGGATTCATAGGGTTAAATGTTATGGCCAGAAGTTCAAAGACCCTATGGCACCTTTAGGATAATTAGCCTTGAATTTTGATGCACTCATAGAACCGGACTAAGATACCGCGAAAGATTAAGGCACCTTTACGGTTCGTCAGGTTTCTAATGTCGGAGGCCGAGTCAGACTGAGGGAACTTTCGGATTCTTAGGGTTGAATTCTATAAGCCAGGCTTAAGAGGCGAATACAATGCACACACTAATGCACGTTCAGGGTTTATTCTAACACGTAAATTCTCAAACCTCTTGTCAGTATACTTAATGCACAATGTTGTTTCACTGCAGGTGCCGAGCAAGGGAAAGACGCTCTCTGGTTAAGGCGGGGGTGGGCAGGCCACGGACACTGTCGTCCACAGGCTGCGATGGCTATTATAACAACAGCAACCGCAGCAACGCCGATTCGCGATACCTTTCACAACAAAGCCCCCTTTAGACGCTGACCATTCATAAGCGGCGACAAACCCCAGCCCCAGGTTTGACCCCCGCGACGAGGAGAACGAGGACTGGCGGAGAGCAGAGCCGTAGGTAGTCGCTACGGCCGCCTTTGGTGGTGGTGGTGGTGACGGCGGCGGCGAGGGCGCAACGCGATCAGCACGCGAGAACGCGCGCTGCCATCTTACTCGGGGGCTTAACGTCCCTCGTGCTTTAATACCTGTGGGGGTGGGGAGAGAGCACAAAGTCGTCGTCGTCGTTATTGAAAGCGGGTACGACGAGACGTTGCAACTCCCCCTCGGTAAGGCGGCGGCCCCACCACCTAATGCTTGTTCCGTTTTGTGAAACGCGACCTCTTTTTTAAAAAAAAAAATTTGACTCGCGCCTGCCATCTTACTCGGGGGCTAGGTCCGTCAACAAAGGTGACGTCATCTGAAAGCGAGCAAACCCAGCGCAGCCGTCGTTGGTATTAAGTCGATTAGACGTTCATAGTTTCATTTATTTTGGTATAGCCCCTGTGAGCCATTCGGCTCTTGAATCGGGTGCAACCGCAACAAACAAACAAACAAAAACACGAACAAGAAAAAACATCTTCAAGTGACTATGTGACTGTGCAGACAGGAAAATCCAGGGGGGGGGGGGGGGGTAAAAAAACCCATAAAAATATTCCTGAAAAAAAAACAACACCGTACGCCGCCGACGCTGTGTGCAAAAAAACCACCCCTCAGTAAGATGGCGGCCCTACGTCGAGTGCCCTTCCGTTTGCTCATGCTACTTTTTGACGCGCGCCTGACATCGTTTGAATCCAGGGGCTATAGTCAACACGGCAAAACGTCGTCTAAAGCCAGCGTGCAGCCGTCGTGTACGGCGATGGAGATGTCCCCAACAAAAACCCCCACGCAAACTGCTGCCCTTTGCTAATGCAACTTATTGTGACTCTCCCCCTAGCCATCTTACTAGGGGGGGTTGACGTCCGTCGTGTTGAAACCCGGGGGAGGCTATCGTCAAAACAACGTCGTCGTCTAAAGCGAGCAACCCAGCCGCTGTATAAAGACGATGTGGGGAGATGTTGATTTAAAGCTTTCGTGACTGCAGGGATTCATATTCTTGGGGGGGGGGGGGGGGGTTTCCCGGTAAAGTCACCACGTTAGAAGGGAAGCAATAAAAATATTGTTTTTCATATTTTTATTATTGTATTGTTTCCCTTCTAACGTGGTGACTTTACGGAAAGAACCAAGAAGATGTGGGGCGATGTTAAGGTGTCCCACCACCACCACGTCATGCTGTTCGGGTCATTGTTTTTGTTGACGCGCGCTATAACACCGTCTTGCTCGCGGGTGTTGTGTGTGTGTTGTGTTTTTATATCCCAACAAGCGCTTTTGCATGACGAGGGACGGGTGAATTTTGATTTAAAGCTTTTGTGACTGCAGTAATTCATATTCAAATGCATTAATGCAAACCGACACACCTGATGACGACCGTTTGTGTTATGGTCGAAACGTCGTGAGAATTTTTATTGTTTTATATATATTTTATTATTTTATTGTTTCCCTTCAACGTGACTTTACCGAAAGAGCTAAGAATATGACGAGGGACGGGTGGTTTGGCTGAAGGAAGCGACCATCTCTCAACGCGGTCTTTAAACGACGCCCGGCGTTGTGATGGTGCGGCCTCCTCTACACCCCTACCCCCTTGACAAACACGGCGATTGTACTCATACTCTTTGTTTTTTTTTCGGTAAAGTCACGTAGGTAAAACAAAATTAAAATAAAACAACTCAATCAAATCACGACGTTTCGGAGGCAACACAAGCTTGCGTCTTGAGGTGGAACAGTCACAGCAAGATAGCTGCGATTGTAACCCACCCCCAACATCGCTCTATAACCCATAATAGAGGGGGGTTCTTGGGAGGAATTAGATCGCTAAATGTGTCGTTAAACCCGCCACAGCCAATTAGTAAGGCCTGACACGTAAACAGAACGTGCCAATTAACCAGAACAGCAACACCGCTGTGTTGGAGAGCAAAAAAAAAACACCGTTACAGGGTTCTTCAACAAAAATGTTAACACTTAGGTGGGGCCTATCGTTTGTAACGGAAAAAGAACGGATAATACACTGTAACATTTCGATTTAAAGCTTTCGTGACTGCAAGGATTCATCTTCTTTGGTTCTTTCGGTAAAGTCACGTAGAATGAGAATAAAATAATAAATTGATAAAATAACACAATATTCTCACGTTTCGGCCACAACACAAGCGGCCTTCATCAGGCGCTGTCCTACCAGACAGTCTCGTCCCTTCACCTGATGAAGGCCGCTTGTGTTGTGGCCGAAACGTCGTGAGAATATTATTGTTATTTTTTATCAATTTATTATTTTATTCTCATTCTACGTGACTTTACCGAAAGAACCAAAGAAGATACTGTAACATGATAACAAAATGTATGTTAAGAGCTTTAAAAAGTCAAAAAGGGAGTCTCCACTTGTTCGCTATCGTTGTCAACGCGTGCCGTGGAATCTTGTCCAGGTGGTCTCCCCAGAGCTCCTGATGCAGCGCAATTTCTCGTGGCATCGTTGCAAATGTCTCGGAAACGTTAAAAAAAACATTTCCTCCTGCACCCCCCCCTACCCTCTCTCTCCCTTCTTTGAAGCACCCTGTGTATGCTATGGGACGAAAATCCTTATAACGGGTTAAACAGATTGGTCCGCGAAGCGCGCACGTGGTTTCCTCTGGAGCCCGCGCGCGCCATTGGCGACGCGAAATTCTCATTGGTGTTGTTTGTTGTTGTTGATGTTGTTGGTGGTAACAAACGCGGCTGAGTTGGCCTTGGTGGCCGGGCTGGTGTGTCAAAGAAATCCCCCCCCACCACCACCCTCCCCACCCCCCACCACCACGCCGCGCTTGCAACACCCGTCAAGTTTTAGCCTCCGGAGCTGCGTCGATTGCGGCGTCGTCGATTTGGTCGTTAAATAGGCGCGCGTTGACGCGAGGATACAAGAACAACACCAAGGTGCGGACCACGTGGGGGTTTGTTTTGTTTTGTCGTTGCGGCTTGCTTCGTACGACGGGCAAGCCGATTGATGTTAAGACGCAGAAGCGACAATTACAACGTGCACATTTCAGGGGGTTCAAGCCAAGACCAAAAAAAAATAACAAACCGCGGGTCCGGAGCAGCGGGAGTGTTACACAACATGATCCAGGGGGGATCGGGTGCATTGTCCCGTTTGTTCCACCGGTTCTTAACGTTTAGTCCGTGCCTGTACCTGTCAACACACACGGTTCTCGACACCGTATTCTTGTCCAGGCAAATTGTGAGCGTTCACGTCCATGCTGCGTACAGACGTTTTAAACACGGCCAGCAGTTTCATGTTGTTGCCGATTTGTGTTTCTCCTCGCTCGCGGTGCGTAATGAGGCAGGCAGTGTGATAAGGGGTTGACGGGTGTGTTTGACCCACGAGTCGCAACACCAGCCGGAGAGATTTAATTGTTTGAATGTTTAAAATGTTTTTAAAAATATATATTTTAAAATAAATAAATAAATTCCCCGGCTGATTTGCGCGCGCAATTACATTCGGTAGACCGCATAAGCCGACGCGCTGGGCTTGTTCGCCGCGAGGTGATTGGCGGAGCGCCCCTCGCCAGCCTGGTTGGCTTCCGCCTCGCGATTGGTCGAGGGCCCACACCGGGGGGGGGGAGGGTTTGCAGCCAATCGTAGCGAGGCTACGCCAGTGCGACGTACGCGATGTAACGAGGACCGGCCTGACGTTCGCAAGTGCACGCACTGCAACAAGAAGCGGGCGATGGATTCTCGCCGCTGTTTGGTATTTATTATAACTCTGCAGTTACAAACCGCGCGCCCGCCCGCCCACCCACCCACCTCCCTCCCTCCCTCCACCACCTCTTTTTTTCTTCTTCCGCAAAATGCGATTTGATTTTTGCGAAACGTTGGGCGACAAACGCTCAGAGCTCCTGTGTTTTTGTGGCTCGGTGTGCCGTGGGGTGTGATTTCGCAATGTTTCCATAGTAACTGCGTGCCAAGCTGACCCGTGTTTGGGGCAGGTTGTTAAGCAAGCGTTGTGTAATTTATTAATCGGCTATTGTTGATTTTGTATATGACGATGTTTGTGTTTGCCCGGTTGCAACGAGCGCGCAGTTGGTTCACGCAGTGCAGCACGGGACCGACCTGTCCTGACGTCGGTTCCCGGGCACGGCAATCGTCAGTGGCGAGCGGTATCTGACCCGGTCCTGGTTCCCCCCCACTCCCCCATCCCTGACCCCGCCCCACCAAACCAGGCCTGACCAGCGTGCTTGATGTATGGGGCCGGCCATAATTGACGTCACGCACCTAGGGGGGGGGGGGGTTAAATTTCGATTTAAAGCTTTCGTGACTGCAAGGATTCATCTTCTTTGGTTCTTTCGGTAAAGTCACGTAGAATGAGAATAAAATAATAAAATAAAACACAATTCTCAAGACGTTTGGGCCACAACACAAGTGGCCTTCTTCAGGTGAAAGGGACAGACCTGTTGGGACGACAGAGCTTCAATGAGACAAAGCTTCATGAGACAGAGCTTCATTGTCTCATTGAAGCTCTGTCGTCCCAACAGGTCTGTCCCTTTCACCTGAAGAAGGCCGCTTGCGTTGTGGCCGAAACGTCGTGAGAATTTTGTTTTATTTTATTATTTTATTCTCATTCTACGTGACTTTACCGAAAGAACCAAAGAAGAGGGGGGGGGGGGTTGTTTGAGAAATGTGACGTAAGATCAAAATACTCAACTTTAAATAAATCTAGACAACGCGTTCTACTTAATTAAATAGGCTTTTTGATACATGTTTCCTCCTACAACATCAGAGTGCAGCGGCACATTAAATAAGCACTACAATGGCAATAGTTTAAAGCGATTTGAAGCACGTTTTTATATATTTTTTGGGGGGGGGGGCAGAGCTTTGTGACGTCATATTTGAGGGGGGGGAG